AAAATGGAGGGCATGGAATATCTCTACGTTGTAAGTAGACTGTCGTCTCTATGTGATCTTCATTAACTCTTTAACTCTCTGTTTTTGCTTTTACTGCCAATGTTAATCATAGACAGCAAACTATCTCTCAATAAACAAATTATTAACATGTTGTGCAAACCACCTTAATTTAACCATCCTAAAAACTCTTTCCACTAGCCTGGCCTTCCAGAACTTGTACCACTGGAAATCGGCCTCACACTTATGGCAAACAAGGGTCCCAGCTCACCCAACATAATCGATCTGCTGGATTGGCAGGACTTTCCAGACCATTATATAATGGTCCTGCAGCGCCCTTCACCATGCCTGAGTGTGTTCAAGCTTTTGGAGAGCTGTGGCAACATCTTTGAAGAAAGGTTTGCTCGGTATGTGATGCGCCAGGTTATCGAGGCAGCTGAGACCTGCTGCCGGCGCGGAGTATTCCACAGAGATATAAAATTGGAGAACTTGATAGTCAACACACACACCATGGATGTCACACTGATTGACTTCGGCTGTGGGAACCTGTTCCACGAAACAGAGTACCACACTTTTAGTGGTATGTACAGTATTAAAACTTTAGTGTCATGACACACAAGCTGCTGAATACAGTAAAAACAAACTGTTGTAACTCAGACATGCAAATCTCTTTCCTCCAGGCACAGAGATGTACTGCCCTCCAGAGTTTTTCGAAACGGGCAAATACTTAGCACGGCCAGCAACCGTGTATTCGCTTGGAGTGCTGCTATACACTATGGTGTGCGGTTGTATGCCAGACTACACGGATCGGGAAAAGATGCAGCACTGGCTCTGGTATCTGCCGTCTTTGTCCTGTGGTAAGAACTTGAAAAAATTGTAACAATCATACAAAAAAGTGTCTGACAAAGCCACTTGGCTCAGCTGTCCAAAATGCCATCAGGAGATGTAAAGGATGTTTAAAGTCATAGTCAAACATTAATCCTGTCTTTCAGAATGCAGTCATCTCATAAATGCCTGTCTGCATCCCGATCCCAGCGAGAGGATACAACTGGAGCAGATCCTCCTCCACGACTGGTTTACGGTACCTATGATCTACAAAAACTTTTCAAAATGTCAGTTATTTTGGGGGACAATAAACCTGATTTTGTTTTTGTTTTTGCTTTAGATCACACCATCAGACATGGAGGATGAGCGCCCGGTCCTGGTCATGCAGGAAGAGCTGATTAGCCAGGCATGCTAACACCAGTGGCCTCACCACTTCTCCAGTCCTTTGCTTATTGCTAATGTCTGGTGTCAGAGCTTGAGGCAGCAATACTTGCATCTGTTTGGTTGCTGCCAAAAATGTATTGTTGAATTGAAATAAAATTGTGTCAATTGAACTGTTGTGTTTGTCATGTTTTTGTCCATTTATTTGCTGAATTAGAATTGGAGTTTGCATTAAGCCTAGTAAGACCATGATTAACTAGTACAGGTGTATTTTATTATGAAAGAAGCTAAAAAAAGAATATTGTGGTCCTCCAGGAGCTGGATTGGACATAGTAAGTAGTAAGGAATGTGTATTTATATTGCACATTTATTGTGTATGACCATACACCCAAAGAGCTTCACAATCATGAGGGGGGTCTCTCCTCACCTCCACCAGTGTGCAGCATACACTTGGATGATGCGATGGCAGCCACAGGACAACGGTGCTAGTTCGCTCACTGCACACCAGCTTTTAGTGGAGTGGAGAGACAGTGATAGAGCCAATTCAGTAGATGCGGTTGATTGGGAGGCAACTATAGGTAAGGGCCGATGCAGGGAATTTGGCCAGGACACAGGGGTTACACCCCTACTCTTTACAAGAAGTGTCATGGGATTTTAAATAACCTCTGAGAGTCAGGACCTCAGTTTAACATTTCATCCAAAAGACAGCACTTACTAACAGTATAGTGTCCCTTTCTCTATACTGGGGCATTAGGACTCACACACTGCTGGCCTTACTAACACCACTTCCAACAGCAACCTAGTTTTCCCATGTGATCTCCCATCCAGGTTCTGACCAGGCTCAGCCCTGCTTAGCTTCAGTAAGTAACTGCTCTTGGGCTGCAGGGTGATATGGCTGTGAATTTTCTCAACTATGAATATTTACAAGTGAGAAACTCTGTTCTTCTTCATTCTACACCAGCGGTTCCCAACAAAGGAGTCCCAGTCCACAAGGGGGTCTCAGCGAGCTCTGTAGAGAGTTGTGTCATATTTTAAAAAAAAAAAAAAAAATTAGCAGTGGACAATTAAGAGAACGATTATTTTGCCTCAGTTGATTTTATTTCCTGGCTGACCAAAAATTGACAAATTTGTAATTCGTCTTCCACAAAAAAAATAAATAAAAAATACTCTGATTCAACTTTAGCAGCTAATAGTAATGACGCAAGAATCCTGGGCCCAGGTGAGGAAGCGCCAAATATTTTAGGTCACAGCACTAGCAATACTGGAAACACGAAATGCAGGAAATACCAAGATATTTACCTGAACTATGGTTTTATTATCTTTTCTTGAAACAAAATGTCCCTGACCCAGCCACAGTGCAATATCTATGACAAAGTTCTTGTTAACAAATGCATGAGGCTGTCCAAATTAATAAGACATTTGCATATGACTCCCCAATACATCAAGTGTACCCAATACAAATGGCCTACTGATGTTTTCAGAATCAGTTTTATTGCCGAGTGTGCTTCACACACACTAGGAATTTGTTTTGGCTACAGAAGCTTCCAGTGTACATAAAGTGACAAGTGACAACACAAAATAAATATGGAAAAAAGAAAGACGATAAACATCAAACAGAGATGCAGTTAGTCAAGAAATCTGGATGTTGAATTGTATGTACAGGTTTGTTATAAATACACAGGTTATATGGTGATGTGTACAAATGCAAATGGAGAAAGTATTGCATTGTATATTGATATAAGGTTCTGTGTACAAGTGCGTATATTGCACATTTATTGCACACTTGGGGGATATTTAACTGTTCATGAGGTAGATAGCCTGAGGAAATAAACTTTTCCTGCGTCTGGCGATTTTTGTGCTTGGTGCTATGAAGAGCCGACCAGACGGTAACAGTTCAAACAGGTAGTGTGCTGGGTGTGAGGCATCCAGAGTGATTTTGTGAGCCCTTTTACTCACTCTGGAAGAGTAGGAAGGGTAGTGTCAGTGATAAATTGAGCAGTCCGGACTATTTGCTGTAGTCTACGGAGCGAAGTCATGGGCGTAAATCCCGGGGGGGATGGGGGGGACATGTCCCCTCCCATCCGAGGGTTAGAGACAACACGGGGAAGCGATCACAAATTGACCCACCTTAAAGCGATTCTCCTCAATGTAGTTAATACAGACTCTTTCATAAATTAGTTGCGGCAAAAAATGCTGATTAAGGATGTAATTGTCCATGAATCTGCTGTATTAGCGATTAAAATTACTTACCTAGTTAGCGTTAGCTTGTTGCTAACGCTAAAGCCGTTTCCCATGCATTGTTTCATTTGTGACGATTTGGCATAATGTTAACTTAACATTAACAACCACAATTTGCATATTATTAGTTGTGTATTTGCCAAATGAGCACTGCTACACTGTGCACACTAACCCCACTGTATTTTTTGTATAAGTTAATCAGTTTCTATTCTGTTCTACACAATTAATTTGAAATTAAAATGATAAACTTTTTTAATTCTGTTTTTATTATTGTGGTTATTTTTATGATAGTTTTGCATTCTTTATGTAAAGCACTTTGAATTACCATTGTGTATAAAATGTGCTACAGTATAAATAAACGCCTGGCAGTGTCATGTATTGGATAAAATGACAGAGAAAATGGACATAATAATTTTTCAGTGCAGCTAAACGCCAAGTACAAAAACTTCACATATTAAGCAATTTGGCTTTCAGAATGAGTGCTTATGAAAATACTAATATCACATTATCAATCACAGGCAAAGGAGAAAGAACTGATTGAGGAACAGGCAGAGCAGGGTCAGTCAGATGTACAGTGTCAGGTAAGGGTGTTGTGCTTTATTGAAGGGATAATGAAAATTCTTTTGAAATAATAAAATATAAATAATACAAATAATTTAAAAATAGAAAGGAATGTGGTTGAGAATCAGCTGATTAAGCCATAGGGATGAGCCCTTCTAAAAGAAACATAGTGACAATCTTTCAAGCCAAGATACTGATTTTATTTCCTTCAGACAACACAGGAAAATGGTGAGCTTGAGTATTCTTGTATGTGATAGAGCCGTGAAGTCTCTCATAAAATAAAACATTTGTAATAGTCTCACGTTTTTAGTTGAAAATGTTTAACACAAAGGTCAGTTAACAAGTTGGCCACACAATAGATGCAATTGTCTGGTGTTTAGCTTAAGCAAAGTGAGCATACTAACCATTTATTTATTCATACATAAAAATATAAAGTAATGTTCAAACATATGTCTGTGTAATACCTGTTGTAGTCAGTCATCAACACATTATACGGAGTTTACTTTGTTTCACGCGTTGTAACCAGGATGTAACCTTGTCACAATGTAACAAATTCTCCTCTGCAGAAACAAAAATGTCTGGGCTCTTCTGCTGCCATCTGCCGGCGCCACACTGACACAAAATCATTAAATCTTTGAATCTCTTTAGGCTTATTCCATGCCAAATTATGACTTTACTTTCTTTATATAACACGAAGGTAAAACAAATAATGATAAGCAATAATGAGGATATCATCTTTGCAACTATATTACATATCTCTCTTTCTTTTATTTTAAAATGAGGGCTGTCTAAAGTTATATTATAATGCCAATCACACTAAAACTTTTGTTTAAAAGAAAATCAGTTTTAAAACAATCTATAAAGTAATAAAATAAATGTGTTTTATTTTCCAAGTCGACGAGGAATTGAAGGAGCAATGATTTATTATCCTCGTAGGACTCGCAGGATAAGAGATGTATGTCCCTCTCGTGTTTCCGTAGCGCGATCGCTCTGAGATTGGATTTTGAGGAAGTGCTCAGCCAGCGGGCAAATCACAAAGCAACAGCGGCGGCCCTACGGTTATTTTAAACAGAACATTCGCCTTCGCGCTGATAATACACTATGGCATATCAACTCTACAGAAACACGACGCTCGGAAACAGCCTACAGGAGAGTCTTGATGAACTTATTCAGGTGAGACTGCTGGATCTAAGAGAAGTCATGTAGCCTGATTGCTAGCCAGCGCAGAATGATGCGATTTAGAGACTGTAGATAACGGGATAAAGACGACCACTTTATATTCAGTTATTTACCTTTAATAGTTTAGCATTTTATATGTTAGCATTGCATCTATTATTATTTATCTATCTGTTTAGCAAGTAAATGTAAAGTAACTGAGTGTTAGCAAACACCAGCTGTGTTTGTGACTGAGCTGCTCCTCATAACAGTCATGAATGAACTGCTCTAGTAAAGGATACATTCAATTTTTGTGTGTTTTATTAGAGCTGTACGTGCAATTTTGGTTTTGTTTTGTTTTTAAATTGCCATATTTTAGAACATAACAGTCTTGGTATAATTACAGATGCAACATGTATCGTTTATTACTTCAATATGTACGTTTTTGTCTAAACATGTTGACTCTAAGATTGAAGACTAATACACGCAGTAAAGTCTTTTATTGATTATTTTACTTTACTTAATACAATGAAGATTAAACTTGACCACCACTACATGCATCTTTCAATGAGGTAACTTTTCTCTTTCCACAGACCCAACAGATCACACCACAGTTAGCTCTCCAAGTGCTTTTACAGTTTGATAAAGCTATCAACACAGCCCTGGCCAACCGGGTCCGCAACAGGGTCAATTTTAGGGTGAGTCAAGTGAATTACTTATATTATTAAAGTGATAGTTGTGAATGTGAAAATTCTGAAATTGTTTTCAACATTGACTTGACATGTTTTGTTTAATACAAAAGGATATATACTGAAGAATCCTGGAAACCTGTGGTCATAGACTTCCATTTATATTATTTGTTTTGTCAACCATTAAAGTCATTGGTTAGAGGTTTCCAGCATTCTTCACTGTACAGGATACATGCAGGGTCTTAAAATGTCTTCAATCTCAAAAGCATTATTTTAGGCCTTAAAAAGTCTTAAATCCACTTAAGTTTTGTGTTGTAAATCTTAAATCTTTTTTACAGGTCTTAATGATCCTTTGTGCATGTATAGCTACTAGGCACGGGCTGGTATAAGATTCTGACAGTATGATAACCTTGGATATAAGTTTTACGGTATGGAGATAACTGCTCTAAAATATATTCTTTTTAAATATCTGGGTAAAAAACAAAACATTTTCCCCTTTGTACAGAATATATTTTAGTTTGAGAAACATTTAAAATATTTAGCTGTAAACATGTCAGGCTAAATAATTCAAATGAATTATGGACTTCAACTGTCTTCATTTGTTTCAAAAACACAGATTTATTTACAATTTAAAACGGCAACTTTGAAGATCTTTTTTGCTATAGATACTGTTGTACTAAACATTTTTTTTAAATAATGTAAGTAAAAAAATCTTACTTGTACCTTAAGAACGGTATAGCAGAAAATTTTGATGGTTTTAAAACCTTGACTTTTCCTAACCGCGATATACCTTAAATGCAGTTATTGTCCCATGCTTAATAGCTACCCAATCTGGCCATTAACAATCATACAATCACCAACAATCCTAATGTCAATAAAACTTTTTATTTAAAATTAGCATTTTTACCATAATGTTTTAATTACTTTCTTTATAGTAACATTTGTTTAAAAGTTCTCCCTGTGTACTGCTGAGGATACTGACCTGACCTTATTATTATTGTATTATTAAATGTACTAAATTACAATCATGTTTTGATAGGGCAAGTGAAAATCTTTTCCATCTCTTAGCGTTTAGTCTTGTAAAAGTCTAAGATTTAATTAATAATGCTCTTAAAAGTCTTAAGCCTCCTTTTCACTGCCCACGACAAGCGACAAACCGGAAGTCATTCATTTCCAATGGAGAGCAGTCCAGGAGCTGCGTGGAGTTCCGATCATCTCTGTATGTGGAAAATTCGGATCCGAATTGAGCTGCGGATCCGTTGATATATTTGAACTCCTGCGACTAGACCGGATGTGATGTATTCCAGTGTTGTACAAGCAGGTCCGCGCACGCGAGATGAGAAATAGGAGTTTATTTGGTTATTTTTTAAATTATAAAAAGTCTATATATTAAAAAAAATCTGTTCTTAAATGTAAGAAAGAAAGTAATAAAAATATATTTTGTAATGTTGTCTCCACATTCCCTCCTATATTTTAGCGGTCTGTGAGTTTCTAGTATTCATTCATTCAATAAACCATGTAAACTCACAGAGAATAAAGCCTCTTGCTTTTGCACTCTTTTATTTCGAACACTGAGAATCAGCTTCTCCCCCATGGTGCATTACAACAATTAAATGTGTGTGCGACTGCCACAAGGGGGTGTATTCCGACAGTCGTGTCGATTTGTTGTGTGCAGTGGAAAGGCGGCTTTAAATTTAACTTGTTGAAACCTGCAGAAACCCTGTGATATCTTCTTTTGTGTTCAACTTAACTCAAACTGGGTTGAAATAAGTGTAGGGTGGGTAAATGATGACAGAATTTTAAGGTTCGGGTCGACTATTCCTTTACGAGAATTGTATTATATTACAGCATTTGTCAGGATGTCTGAGATATTTAATGAGGTAGTCTAGATTCTAGTTGTTTACCAGTTTGTTGTTCACACTTGATTTTGAATAAATCAGACACAGTCTTTCATCTGCTAGGTAAGCCCAGTTTATTTAAAGAAGTGTCAACACTGCTTTTTAAATCCTGGTTGTCACTTAGCAATTAGACCGAGACCACTAAAATGATTTGACTAAATTATGAAGCCAACATGGAACAGAGAATTTGTCTAAACAAAACAAAAAAAACAGGTAAGTAGATAACTTTAAAGCATAGATTCCTCATGTCTACCAGTTTTTTTGCTCACTATATGTGCAATGACCATTAAAATTGAATGGACACACAGTCAATCGCACACACCAACGATCAGGATTTAGAATTATGGCAAATCCAACAAGTTCAAAAGCAGCTTTTGCAAACTGGAAATATAAGCACTACTTTTCCCCCATTTTTTGATGAAAGACAAGAATGTTTATGTATCGTGCAACTTATGCCCAAGAAAAAAAAAAAGAGTCTCTCTTTGTTGGTGTCAAGTACTTCTGATCTAACAATGCACCTCGTGTTGTCACATGCCTACGCAGGTGATGACCAGAGCTCTGAGACGAAGCCAACATGTCAAAGAAAATAAAACTTAATTTTTCTCCACCACAAACACTTATTTCTCAGACAGAATTAAACAAAAGAATATCTAGATATATAGTTGAGGACATGCTGCTGTTGTCTCTCACATTGTCCCACAACACCATTATTATGGTGTAGATTAGTGTTCAATGTTTTATATTTATTTTATAGTCATTTGATGAAAATAAGATTTTTATTAAAGTACCACAATAATTACTTTCCTTGGTTATTAGTTACTTTTATAATTATGTAACTCCGTTATTATTTGGGAAAAGTGACTATTGACTATAATTACTCTTTTAATTGGACGTGCCCAACACTGCTCATCGGAAGCAAAATAAGATCTGCAGCAGATCTTCATTAGTGTGTGATCGAGAAGTTTCTGGTACTGTTTTGACTCCCTTACACATTTACGAGCTCATCACAAGTGTTTGGCCGATTAAAAGTACCATCACATGGACCAACATCTAGCAATTAGCCCTGTAAGATCAGTTCAGTCACAAAATTTACATTATAGATGCTGCTTTGTTTTTGTATCTTTGGGTATGGCTTTAAATAAAATCATAAATGGGATGTAAACCAGGACTAAGTGTATCGTTTTCTATTTTGGTACAGATCGAAATCACTCCCATATAACCGAACATGAAGTGTAAAAATCACTGCTCTTTGCTTCATCTGCAGGGATCTCTGAACACATACAGGTTCTGTGATAACGTCTGGACGTTTGTGTTGAATGACGTTGAATTCCGGGAAGTGACAGACCTGGTCAAGGTGGACAAAGTGAAAATTGTAGCATGTGATGGCAAAAGTAAGACTGAGAAAATGTGGATTTATTATTTTCTGCTTTTTCATACTTTGAGGTGTTGTAAAGAAATCCATCTAATCCAATGTGTTTCTGTTTCATAGACACTGGGTCTAATGCAGCAGAGTGAAATCCAGCTGGAGGACGAAAACGGAATAGAATTGTTGGTTGATGGGAAAGATGAAAAGAATTGAAGATGGGGCACACAGCGAGGAGGACTGTGTATATATTATTTATTACAAGAAACAGTTCTCCAGCCTTCATGCATTAACCTGCTCAGTGGAGGACTGGCACGTGTATGGAGCACACAAGGCCTTGGATGTCACATGAAAGTTTTCTTTTTATAAATAAATATATATAATTTTCATAGAAATGCCAATGCTTTTCAGTTTGTTACTATTTAGCGTATTCTCTAATAAACTTGTTTTAAAGGTTTTTGCTTGCTGTTGTTATGGAGAATGTTTTAATAAGTTGTCTTCCAAATTAACAGGACTATAGAGCTGTATTGGGATCATAATTTCCGAAATCACACATAACCACCACTTAATCTCCACTTCTAGCTGTCACCTGTAAGTTTAAAGGAATAGTTCACTCAAAAATGAAAAATTTGTTTATTTTCTCCCCCTCGGGCCATCCAAAATGTTGATGAATTTATTTCTCTTCAGCAGAACATATTTTTAGATGATAACAATTGTCCTCTGGTGTCCCTATGTTGGAAGTCAGTGGGTGCCATTACTTTTGAGATAAAAAAAAAAACATGTTTAAAACAAATTATAATTATTACCAGTGCCTACTCCGGATGCACTGAGATTTTAGGAAGCGAAATAATCTCTCTGTGCTGAACACTGAACATTATTTACAACTTTATTACCTGTTATTCATAGGGTTAGGTACTGAAACCCGGTGCCATTATCGGCATATGAATTTCACTGCCTAATCTTAGTTCCACTGGTGTTGCGACAAGGACATAAGAAGCATCAAGGTGTCCTTTGTGTCCTATCATCTCGAAGTGAAGTTTTATAAACTAATTTCTAGAGGAGCACATGATATACTGACATAATCAGTAATAACCCAATCAGATTGATTCAAGCTTACAATAAATAGACAGATTTCACCCTATTGCCTTATCTTTGTTTTTGGAAGAATCCCCTCTTTCACCCCATCTCCTTTTCCAGGGGGAGCTCTCGATACTTACCTGATATTGCACCACCTGCTTATTGACAGGTGGGAGCCTTGGGCTCAATTGTCTCTGAGCTCAGGGTTCTCTACCAGGACAGCATGCCAAATTTGCTGTTAATGCCAAACATATCTAAGTGTTGGCAGCACACTGGCGCAGTGAGTAGCACAATCGCCACACAGCAAGATTGTCGCTGGTTCAAACCTTGGCTAGGTCAGTTGGCATTTCTGTGTAGAGTTTGCATGTTCTCCCTGTGTTTGCGTTGGTTTTCTCTGGGTGCTTCAGTTTCCCTCAAGTCCAAAGACATGCGCTATAGGTGAATTGGGAAGGCAAATATGCCCATAGTGTATGTGTGTGAATGGGTATGCATGGATGTTTCTCAGTACTGGGTTGCAGCTGGAAGGGCATCCGCTGCATAAAACATATGCTGGATAAGTTGGCGGTTCATTCCACTCTAGCGACCCTGGATTAATAAAAGGACTAAGCTGAAAATGAAATTAAATATTTAAGCGTGAATTCTTGAAACATTTAAATTCTAAATTCTATGAAAAATTTAATTCTAAACAATTTTGAGGGATTTGACTTAGAGGGAGTCGGTTTTGTGGCTCAAAAGCATCCATTTTGTCACCCTAAACTTTAAAAGTATCAATTTAGCACTGGTATCCAAATAGCTCCAAATGATACCCAACCCTGTCTATATTCATGGCAATAAAATTGTAAATAAGGTTCATTTTGGTCCACCGACAATTTTGTTTTACTGACACCAGCTAAAATCTTCTTTACTGTTCTACAAAAAAGAAATCTGCCAAAACAGCCTTTGCAGGAAAGCTAAAGGAGTGCAAAATCCCACCTTCAGATCTAAAGCCACTAATAAAAGGCAATATTCTAAACAAATGGCAAAAAGAATGGGATCAGTGCTCAGATAATAAACTTTTTGAAATTCAGCTAGAAATAGGAAAAAAATCTGATTTATTTTTTAACTTAAGACACGATGAAATTGTTTATAGAAGATGCTGCATTGGACACACAAGACTCACACATGAACATTTACTTACCACCAAAATGTCAGTATTGCAAAAGAAACCAAACTTAAACATATTCTTGTGGAATGCCCTATTTTTAATGTTATCAGACAACAATTTTTATTTATATACAGACTTTAAATGAAATATTTTGATTTTGATACTTATATATTATTATTATCTATGTATTTTTCCTTGTGTATGTATTGCTGTTGGGGACTTTTAATTGTTATAATATTTTTAAACCTGTGGTTTAAAACCTGTGGAAAAGTGGTATTTATAAAACGTGGTAAACTTGATCTGTTTTTTTTTTTTTTTTTTTTTTTTGCCATGACATAGCCAAAGAAGCTAAAATGGCTATAAACTCAAAATTCTCTCTCTACAAAAAAGTCGCCTTCATCCTGGATGGCCTGAGGGTGAGTAAATTAACTAACATTTTTCATTTTTGGGTAAACTTTACCTTTAAATAGAGCAAAATCGTTCAAATAGATTAAACTGTAGGATTTCTGCTCATAATTTAATGATTCTGAACTATAAAAGTAGAAATATTATCAAGTGCTATTTAAAAAATGCTATTTTTTTCTGTCGTGCATAGGAACAGCTTGGTGTTAGCCATCTTTTTTAATTCTAAGCCATGCGGAAAATGATTTTTTAATTTTAGAATAAATTGGGGGGAAAATAGTTAATAGCAGATTGCATTTTGTCAACTGTTTGACAATGACCTGAATATTGGTACACAAGTGATGATGCTACCCTGTCCTATTCACAGCTAAGCTCTGCATTTCTGTTTCCTAATACTTTTCAAGTCATGACCTAACCATGTGTTTTTTTTTTTTTTATTTAGCATTAGAGCCATTTTTGGTTTGACTTTTACCCAAAGTAGATTTACCTTCAATCACCATTTATTAAATCTCCTGCATTAAAGAGCATCACTCATAGGGCAACTCCATTAAGCCTGATTACACGCACACACACACATACAGACCGTCGCTGAGGAAGGGGGTCTTTGTGTCAGCGTCATACTATTCCATCTCTCAGTGTCTGAATGAATCAGTCTTTGCTGTAGGATGCTGAAAGTGGACATCAGTGTTTTCAGCTGTTGATCATTTTGTCTGCTGGTCATGGAGACTCATCGAGGCTGGATAGTGATGGCTGGACTATAGAAGAAGTTTTGTTATAAATATGGATAACAGGGGCTTTGGAGCGAAAAAGGCCAAAGAGGGCTCCTTTAAGCGTGCCTCAATTAAACGAACATCCTCTGGCTCTCAGAAGGTAAGAGACCTCTACAAACTTCTGAATTATACTCAATATTTCTTCTACTGCAATTGGCAGAGTTGATTTGAATTGGTGAGTGGCATCGTGGCTGAGTGGTTAGCACTGTTGTGTCACAGCAAGAAGGTCGCTGGTTTGAGTCCCGGCTGGGTCAGTTAGCATTTCTGTGTGGAGTTTGCATATTCTCCTTGTTTTGGTGTGGGTTTCCCCCAGGTGCTCCGGTTTCCCCCACAGTCCAAACACATGCACAATTGGTAAATTGAATAAGCTGAATTGTCTGTAGTGTATGTGTGTGAATGGGAGAGTGTAGGGATGTTTCCCGATACTGGGTTGCAGCTGGAAAGGCATGCACTGTGTAAAACATATGCAGGATAAGTTGGCGGTTAATTCCACTGTGGCGACCACTGATGAATAAAGGGATTAAGCTGAAGGAAAAAAAAAATTTCGGTTGGTTTAGAAACTTGATCGAATTAAATAATGCTTGGGAGCCACTTCATATGTAGGATTCTTGGCCCTCTGTCCTGTTTGAAACAGTCTATAAATTGTTGTGGGTCCCTTGTCATCTAAAGTTTTGGCTCACAAGCATTATTCAGTCTCTTGGAAGATTTTGTGTGTCTCTCTTTTCTGTAACAGTTCAGAAAATTGAGCGCTCTTCAAGTGTATTGGTACAATATGTTATGCAGAGCACTGTGTCCCCAGGACTGGAGTTGAGATTTACTGGTTAGTGTTAGAATGGCTAATACTATATTAACTTCGTCTCATGCAATGAATATTGAATCTGCTTTAACAGAAGTTCTGACCGGTTTTGCACTGTAAGATGTACGCACTTGCCGTTTCATTAGGTACGACTTGTACTGAGTTAGATCTCTTTGCCTTCAGAATTGTGCTGTATGGTTTATTTAGATCAGGGGGTTTTCTTATGAAGGGCCAAAAACCAAACTTGATTGAGGCTGGGGGTCAAAGGTATTACATTAAAATTGCCAACGTAATTTCCTAATTTAATATTATTTTTAAAAAGAAATGCATAATCATATAAAAGGGCTGTCACCTCACAGCAAGAAGGGCGCTGGTTCAAGCCCGGCTGGGTCAGTTGGCGTTTCTGTGTGGAGTTTGCATGTTCTCCCTGCGTTCGTGTGGGTTTTTTCCGAGTGTTCCGTTTTCCCCCACTGTCCAAAGACATGTGGTACAGGTGAATTGGGTTGGCTAAATTGTCTGTAGTGTATGAGTGTGTATGGATGTTTCCCAGAGGTGGGTTGCAGCTGGAAGGGCATCCACTGAGTAAAACATATGCTGGAAAAGTTGTCTGTCCATTCTGCTGTGGTGACCCCAGATAAATAAAGGGACTAAGCCAAAAAGAAAATGAATATATGAATAATCATATTAATAATTTTATGTAAATATATAAGTTCAATGCATTGTCTTCTATCTGTCAAGTAACAGTATTTACATTAAAAAAAAATTACAAAATCTGATTAATTTAATTTATCAATTCATTTACTTACTCAATATACATTTTGGCTTAGTCCCTTTATTAATCCGGGGTCGCCACAGCGGAATAAACCGCCAACTTATCCAGCACGTTTTTACGCAGCAGATGCCGTTCCAACAGCAACCCATCTTTGGGAAACATTCACACACACACACACACACTCACACACTCACACACTATGGGCAATTTAGCCTTCCCAATTCACCTGTACCGCATGTCTTTGCACTGTGGGGGAAACCGGAGCACCAGCGGAAACCCTAGCGAACGCAGGGAGAACATGCAAACTCCACACAGAAACGCCAACTGAGCCGAGGTTCGACCCAGCAAACTTCTTGCTGTGAGGCGACAGCACTAACTACTGCGCCACTGCGTTGCCTGATTCATTTAATTAAAACACTTAATTTCAGTTGTAGCTCAACAAATAAATAAACAAACAATCAATCAAATGGTTATGTGACATTAGAACTGATGATCTCTGTTGAAGGCATTTGCCTCAACCTTCCCATCATTTTCCATCCTCTTTGTCAGTTGCGCATGCCAGTTTCCAAATGCACCATATCCAAGGTTTCCACAGGTCATGGAATTTTGTTTTGCTGTGAAAATATACACCTATTAACACATCTTTATTCTTCATAGTTTTCATACTAAGGAACCATTAGTCACATTTCCACTATCGGGCCAGTGCGAGCCAGGGCTTTAATCGGCCGGGCCGGGCCAATAGCCCGGGAGGTTGAGAAATGAGGCTGAAATCATGTCGCGTTTCCACTGTCAGGCTAGTAGCTCACAGCGCGTCACGCAAACACCGCCTACAGAACGTCACACAACCCGCCCACTTCACTATAAATTAAAACTACTTTATTATTTTATGCAGCAGCCTTACATTTAAAAAGGGAAACAAAAGGGTGATCATACGCAAAAAGACCCCAGACTATAAGACTAGATGTTTTCTTTCCCTTATTTATTTATTTGTTTGGCGCATGTACTCATGTGCGATCAGAAAACTGCCCGCCTCATTTTTCACTCCGCCCCGAAAGCCCCAGCTGGCCCTCCTTGGCCCAAGGTATTCGGCGGGCCGAAAAAGGCCGGCCGCTGGCCCCAAGAAAGCCCCGCTTTGGCCCGATTAGGCCCCGGAAGTGACAGTGGAAACCCCACTGGCCTTGGCTCACCCTGGCTCGCTCGCTTTAGGCGCGATAGTGGAAACGCGGCTATTGATTGCTAGAATTTATATATAGGAAGCACTGAGGGATACAAAGAGAAAGTCTTTACCTCTTAACCTTATGAAGCCTACTACATCATATTTGATATAATCAAAATAAACAAAACTTAAATTCTCTTCTCAACAATAGCATTAGAACTGTCAAGTTAAAACTTCTATTTTTAGCGATGGATACAACAAACCTATGCTGAATGCGTATTGGGATAATGTCACATGAAATGTTTAAAATTGGTCACAAACCTAACAAGAGAGTGAGGGCCGTACTGAGTCTGACAACTCAAGAAATCACACACCGGATGAGGACTTTCTAATCTCAAATATAATGCAATTAAATAAAACAATGCAGATGGTGCAAAATTCTTCTGGCTGATCAAAATTTGCAAGAAATCTGCAGCAATTTAAAAAATTGCAAGCTGCTCTAAATTTTGTGTTTTTTGCTCGATTTTGCGTTAAATTCAAGAATCACAGAGGACTACTGAACACATCAGCTGCCTGTTTTTCTATTCGGTATAGGTCACGAAAACTCTTTTAGTCAGTGAAGGTCAGGGGAAAGTCATGGAATTTTGTCTGGAGTGGAAGCACATCTCTAAAGTGCTGTACTGGATTGAGATCTGGTGACTGTGTAGGCTATTTAAGTTTATAACTCACTTTCATGTTCAAAAACCTATTGAGATTTGAGCCAGGGCTGGGCGATTAATTGAAATGTTATCAAAATTGACATTCAGAACTTTTAATCGATCAAAATTTTCCTGGACGATTTTTTCAATTGCTTTCCCTACATCTCACGTGACGTGTTAAAGGCTGTGGCTGATTTATACTTCTTTGGCCACTTTGCAGCCACATTTGATCTCTGGTCAAGTAGGACGATGCACTCTTTCTTGAGCCCTACTTTGCACTATAATGATGATGATTAGAAGCCTTTAGACGGCATATAAAACATGACAGTGAACTATGAGGGGAAAAAATAAATAAATAAATAAAATAATCATTCATTGAGCGTAATCGAGTTAAAAGGTTATTCATCAAGATTTTGATTTTAGGCCATATCGCCCAGCACTAATTTGAGCTCTTTGTATTTAGCCGTCATAAGATGGGTACACTGTGGTCAAGAAGAGTGGAGATGGTCAAAACTAAATGTGCTAAGGAAATTACCCATTCAGTTTGCTGTTATTAATGTGCTCTTCTTCTGCTGCTGTAGCACATCTGCTTCGAGGTTTGATGTGTTGTGTGTTCAGAGAGGATATCCTGCAGTCCATAGTTGTTGTTTGAATTAATGTAGATGTTCTGTCGGCTTGAACCAGCCTGGTCTGACCTCAACAAGGCCTACAAAACTGCTGCTCACTGGATATTTTAATTTTTATGATCATTTTCCTGCAAATCCTATAGACTTTTGTGTGTGTGAATCCCTGCAGATCAGCAGTTTCTGAAACACTCAGATCTGCCTGTCTGGCATCAACAATCATGCCATGTTTAAAGTCACTTAAATCACATTTCGTCCTTATTTTAATGCTCAAATTAAACTTCATTGGATCTTCTTGACCACATCTCTAGATGAATTGCTTGCTAAGAGATTGGCTAATAGCCTTGACATGCAGTTGAACCCAAAGATTTCTGTTGGTTTTTCGTTTGATATTATGATAGTCAGATAAGTGTGTGTAAACTCATTTGCAGAGTGCACTGATTCTTACGGTGATCCTGATCTCTGAGTGTGTGATACATACGTGTACACACATATACAGTACAAAACCTTTTTTTTTTTCTTCAGCATTGTCCTCTAATCTCTGATAATGGCCCAGTAAAGAGCACTGGCCCTGGTGGCTTAAACCCCCGTTCTCTCTAATTCTCAATCTTATGTGATTAATGCAGAGTTCTGTGGAAAGAGTCCAAACGCAAGTGGACAAAAGCACACTTTAGTGGGCTTACAATGGATCTGAAATGATTTCAAATCAGCTTGTGTTTTCAAGGGAAAGGAAAACAACGTACTGAAGTTTATGAAAATGCATGACTGCACTTCCATGATTTACATGACCTTTCATCTCTGTAAACGGACTAAAACCTTTTATCCTTGTTTTTATAAAAATGCTTAAGCAAACTGACATGGTAACACAATGTTTGTTAACTAACAGAAGATCACTTGAAAAATTGAATGGTAAAGATTACAAAAAATACTAATCACTAATTATATAACCTCTATTATCGATATTAGTCTATCATAATAATAGTAATGATACAATTTTTGGGGTAATCATATTTTCTTTTAAGTAGAAATGGCTGGTCTGTTCTGAACAAGGACTACAAAACTTTAACAACCAAAATTGTGTTGCATTGTAGTATATTGCTTGTATTTTTTTTTCTTGTAAACATCGTAAAAATGCTAGTCTTCATTTACTACTGGCAGACAGAGTTGATTTGCTTTTTGCTTGATTTGCTTAGATGAGGATTATCTGAGCTGAGCTTTTCACAGAGCTCCTTTATGTAGCTGCTCACGGGGTAGACATGTGTTAATGTGAGAGCTTTGAGGGACTAAATTGTAATTATGGATCAGCGGGAGCAGATTTTTCTGGTTTTCTATTTCTGTTTAATTTACCAGTCAATCTGTTTTAGGAAGCTCATCTGAGGACATACTGGCTATGTCTCTGTGGGGAGTCAAGTCACCTTTATTTCGATAACAGCTTCCGAGAGATCATGAGTAAAATATTCATGTTTTTATATTAACTGCATCTATAAATTTTCTGAATTGGTATGTTGGTGGGCCCTCAAAGAATAATTTGTGTGGCATTGAAAATGTGGCGGTCCATTCTGTTGTGGCAACCCCTGATAAATAAGCATAAGAAATATGAGTGGACATTGAAAATGTAGCTCAGTGTAAAAAGTAAGGGTCTTTTTACTGAACTTTGTTGTACTTCCATAGGTAGTCAGCTTGGTGAAAGGGGTGGTTCTTTTTTCTCAAAAAGTGAACCTTTTCACATTTCTGATTTAATTAAGCATTCATTTTAGCTGGATTAGCTTGCCGGATGGTCACCATAACCACACTTTTTGATGTACCAAAAATACTTCCCAAATTTAAAATACATTAAAAAAAACAACAACAAAAAACTTATTTTTAAAATACAAATTTATTACATCATAAATCTTTTTTTTTTTTTTTTTTAACAAGCCTATTGTCATTTTTTAGGCAGATTATAAATTAAAAACTGCCAGCACATTTAACTTTCCTCAGTCAGAAATTGGCTATTTGAATAATAATAATAAATAATAACAATAATATAGAGTTTCACAATTTTTCTAACCTCTCGTAAAAAAAGTGCATTTGAAAATGTATGGATAACAACAATTGTTTTTAAATTAATTTTTATTTGATCAGTTTTCCATGGATTATTATTTTAACTATTTGTGATGTCATAGCACTCAAAATAGGACAAAAAAGCTAATATGTGGGACAAATTCTGGACCTTTGTCAGTGAGGGGTGAATCTTTCAAACCACCTGAACCCCACTTTGCTACGGACCTGTTCCAATAAGCATGATTTGAACAGTGCCATTGCATTTTGACCAATGGCAAGATCATTTTCGAACCTAAGAGAATGTTTTGTTTGATAATATCAAATGCAGAACTAAGGTCCAGTAACACTCATAGAGGGATGAAAAAAGCTAGTCATTATTAACTCTAATGTAAATTATTTCAGTAAACCCTCACTGGAATCCCTTACAAATGCTATTTTTTTCTTTCTATAATACAGTTATTCTCCACAATATTTGTTTTATTTTTACGTTTAATTACTTTTAACTTTTTATTTGACCAACTTTCTCTGTGAATTAACATACATGTTTCTATGACCAAACCTTTTAGGATTTGAGAGAAATGAAGCTCTAAAAAGATAAAATCCAAAGATGTCAAAAGCTGACGCCAGATGTCTGAACACAAATCTCACATGTACTTGGGACAGAGCCAGATTATGTTTCAGCGATACTGCTCTTTGTGAATGAGAGCACTTATGCTTTATTTGATTTCAGTATGAGGTTATTTTTGCTATGACGCAGCTACAATAACAATTGTGTGGATCACCTTTCTCAAACAGTTACTTATTTACTGTTTCCAAAATAATAATTTAATGGCTTTAGGATCGTAATACTGACTCCATCTTTCCCCAGTTTACCTCAACAAACATCAGTTAGAAGAGGTGTAGAGGGGCTACTGGGTGAGATTAGCATGTTGACCAATAGAACAGATTAGAGAACCCCTGGTCTCAAACTGGGCTTTAGTTTGTGTTGTTCCATATCGGTCATGAGGTTCGAGGAGGATTATCTTTAGGACTAGTCATGGGACTCTGAGACCGAGGTCCAGACACGTGGTCAAGGGCAAAATAAAGACCACTGCACCATAAATGAAGGCCACTGGCTGTTGAAGGAGACTAGAAGAAAACTTCATGACAAGTCTGGCTTTATGTAAGCCTTTGGTCTTTCTCTTTAACTTCAAGGGTAAGTTCTAGAGTAGTATATGTACTACAACCTGTTTGCCTACCAGACTTTGCTTTGCTGAGAGCTTTATTATAGACATATTTCTAGCAGTCACAATAGGATTTCGGTCTCTGGAATTGTTTTTTTCAGTGATGTAATTGGCAGTTTTTTGGCATATCTCTGTAAGTATTCTTGTATTAAACAAACAACATTAGGCTGATTACCTATTATGTGATATTTTTAGGTTTCAAATATTAATGTGCTAAATGCCATATGCAATTAAAAAGGTTTACATTTATTCATAGGATAAAAAATGAGTGTGAGTGGAAAAGCACTGTTATGTATGTACTGTATATGACTGTGCGCTGACCTAGAAGAACTGTTTTCATAATTTTAATATGACTTAAGGGATTTCATTTACCAAGAGTGCTTTACAGCTAACATTCACCCTAGCTCACGCCAGATATGCTTTATTCACACTAACACACCTATCTACACGTAGATCTATCTATCTATCTATCTATCTATCTATCTATCTATCTATCTATCTATCTATCTATCTATCTATCTATCTATCTATCTATCTATCTATCTATCTATCTATCTATCTATCTATCTATCTATCTATCTATCTATTTATCTATCTATCTGTATATGTGTGTGTATACATTACTGCTGTGATTTTTTTTTTTCTCTTCAGTAGTCAGAAATATGTTAAACACATAAGCCCCAGAACAGCTTGTTCATTTTTGTAGCTACTGAAATGGATTACAAAAGAGATTAAAGCATAGGTATTATGTGGAAATGGCATTTCCATCAGAAATAAGTGGGAACGAGTATACTAAATTTTTCTGTTTTGTGTCTTTCAGGCTCAGAGGGCATGGATTGAAAGGACATTTCTAAAAAGAGAGTGCAATCATATATTCCCCAGCAAAGAGCCCAACAAGTCAGTAGCAATGTTTTTATTGTATTGCTCATACTCCTGGGGTATGAATAAGTTTGGGATTGACTGTGTATATACAGTATATAGATAATTACTAAAACTATAATCACTGAAAGACATGCTGGATGACAAACAACATGCTTGTAGATTAAAACACAATATCATTTTAACCTACACTCAAAATTTACTTGTTTAAAATAAGCTGAAAGAACACATTTCTTTAGTTTTTCGGGGAGAAATGTAAATGTTACTTTATTTCTACTTAAATAAAAAATAAATCAATATCTTGACCTTATTCCTTCCTGTTGTCCTAACATAAATCAATTGTGTGGAGCCCAGCATTTTTTACAGTGTATAAACATTCTTGATCAATCTGCATTAAAGGAAAAGTTTAATTAAACCATTTTAAAAACATGCGCTGATGGTTAATAGTGCTTTTATCTTCTTCGCTACTTCTGTTAGATGCTGTTGCGGTCAGCTGGTTAACCAACATGTGGCTATTCTTCCCGGTTCCACCAATAAGAATGTGGAAGAAGGTCAGGTGGTGCCGATTGAGCCCCCTCAAGAGAAATGGTCGGTTGCGAAGCACACACAAGCCATGCCTACTGATTCATATGGCATCATTGAGTTCCAAGGAGGAGGTCATATCAACAAGGCCATGGTATGTTTTTCAGATAAACATGCAATTCAATTGTTTTTCTTTAAAAGCAAAGTTGCCAATGTACTTTGGAATCATGTCTTAACATTTGATCAATTAAAATCTTCTCATTACTTTCTTCCTTGTTATTAGTATATCCGTGTGTCCTACGATACGAAACCGGATAACCTTCTGCATTTGATGGTAAAGGACTGGCAACTAGAGCTGCCCACCCTGCTGATATCTGTGCATGGCGGGCTGCAAAACTTTGACCTGCAGCCCAAACTCAAGCAAGTGTTCGGAAAGGGTCTGATAAAAGCAGCAGTCACCACTGGGGCCTGGATCTTCACTGGGGGAGTTAGTACAGGTGGGTGTTTGACTATTCAAACAGTCAGTTATCTTTTTATTTGTGTATCCCATTGGAATCTGTCTGAATGACTGACTGTCCACACTGTGTATCAAAACTCTTCACACCCATTTTGTTTGCCTTATAGTGATTTTTTTTTACATAATTATCTTGGTTTCATGTGTTAATGTGAATTTTGATTTTGTTTACACTGGTTACCATGACAGCAACATCATGTTGGCATGACTGTGCCAAACAGCAACAACAACAGCAATTAACAATGTGACAACAGGTTGCCATTGCACTACAATATAATGCTTTATCAGGCAGCAGCTTTATAAGGGACATGAAGACCAATATGTTAACCCATACTGTGACTTTGGGCTTTCATTTTTAAGTGAATATACACCAGTGAGCAGTGAGAACTAGGCACGTGACAATAAACGTTTTCAAGGTTTACTGTGGTTTAGAAAAGTCAAGGTTTTAAAATTGCCAACCTTTGCTGTTATACGATTTCATCAGTATCTCCAGCAGAAAAAGGCCCTCCACATCAAAATCTACTGCTCCGAAATATTTAAAATGTTTCTTAGAATAAAATATATTGTGTTCAATGGTGGAAAAAGTTGTTGTTTTTTGCCCAGACATTTAAAAAGAATATATTTTAGACCAGTAATTACAATACCGTGAAAACGTGATATTTTTATCCAAGGTTATTATACTGTCAGAATCTTATAAGATGAGTAGATGATAATGAGCCCCACTAAGTAAAGTCATGACATAATTATACATTAACAGCTTGTGACCTCAATTTGGTTACATTTAGCCTAAACTTAAGTATTAATTAATATATTAACTAATAAACATGTACTAACAAGTAATTAAAGTAGCCACTATTCACACATGAACTCTTGTGACACATGTTGTTGTTAAAGGTAGTTCATCATTAACACATGCATTAACTCATCATTAGTTTATAATAAAGTAATGTTTACTTTACATATTAACACATCATTATTTATGTACTGCTATTGTAAAGTGTTACCAAACAATGTAGCTGAAACAGGTTTGAAAAAGTAGAGGGTCAGAAAATGACCGAATTTTAATTTCTATTTATTTCATTCTAAAATACACTATCCTTTCAATGTAGCTTAAAATTTATTGATAAAATTGTTTCATTTTAAATATTACAGGGTTCTATTCAGATTCAGATATAAAAATTGGATTTGGCTAGTTTGAACATAGCTTTAAAGAAGTGTAATTAAAATAAGAAAGGACCAGGTCCTAACTTAAATCATTTAAGTGGTTATTTGTTTCCATATCAGCTGCTAAATCATCTGCTTTCCTGTTGAGTAATAAACTCAGAATGACTCCATCACATGACAGACTAATGGTTTAATATTTATTTTCTCTTTTCGCATTTCAAAGGAGTGATTCGTCATGTAGGAGACGCATTAAAGGACCACTCCTCCAAGTCTCGTGGGAAGGTGTGCGCCATCGGAATTGCACCATGGGGTATCGTGGAAAATAAAGAGGATTTGATCGGACGAGATGTAAGTCACCTGTTTGATTTCACATGAAAGCATACATTCAGTTTAATATGATGATGTTTAATGGTGCTCGATGCACCTCACACGGGTGATTGTGCTTGAAAAACCACCTTTAAGAGACACACTCTTCCACTCTTCTTATACACGTTTTTATAAGCACACAGTAATTCTTTCCATTAAAAACAAAAACAAAGGCTTAGCTATAGCAGTGTTTCTCAACCATGTTCCAGGAGGACCACTAGTTCTGTACATTTTTCATGTCTCCTTAACCAAACAATTCAGATCCTCAGCTCATTAGCAGAGACTAAAAGACCTGTAATGGGCGTGACAGATAAAGGAGACATCCAAGCATTTATGTACTGTACTTCTACTCTTTCATGGTTTAAAGCGCTTCTTTCATCCTCACTTGTGTCGGCTAAATTAGTAAATGTTTGAGCAATTCTATCTGTGTTTGTGCATTTATCAGGTGACACGACCCTACCAAACCATGTCCAATCCCCTCAGCAAACTTTCCGTGCTTAACAACAGCCATTCTCACTTCATTCTGGCTGACAACGGCACTCATGGAAAGTATGGCGCCGAGGTGCGTCTGCGCAGGCAGCTGGAGAAACACATCTCTCTGCAGAAGATCAACACACGTAAGTCAATTCAGAGAACAACCACTAGTAGCTAAAAAAAAAGGGAAAACAACACTGTTGGAGTTCATCAGTGTTGCTCTAGTGACCAGTTTGTGACCTCCTGGGTTTCCCTTTGTCATCCTATGCCTGCAGTTCCTGATGAGGCTGGGACAGCAAAGGGAGGTTCAGATGTCGACCTGTACTACAGTCAATACAACCATCTTAATATTGCTAAAACGCATCTATTCATGTTGGAACACTGCTAATTTTGTGCTTTGATGTACATGAGTTTGTTTGATGTCTGTTTGGACAGGTCTGGGTCAGGGGGTCCCTTTGGTGTGTCTGATTCTCGAAGGCGGGCCGAATGTAATCTCCATTGTGCTGGAGAGTCTGCGAGAGGATCCTCCTGTGCCTGTGGTGGTGTGTGACGGCAGTGGGCGAGCATCAGATATCATTTCATTCGCTCACAAATACTCAGAGCAGGATGGGTGAGGAAAATATTAGTGATTATTCAAATGATTTAATCAATCTTAAAAGTACAATTCGGAAAACGCTTTTTGTAAGGAAGAACAGAACATAATTGTTGTTCTTACTGATAGGTTGCTGATTAAACACATTTGTGACTTTTATCTTAAAACCCATTTTATACCTATAGATTTAAAAATGCTTGTTATTTTGCAGGTTGGTTAATGACAGTGTTAGAGACCAGCTTCTAGTCACCATACAGAAGACGTTCAACTATAACCGTAATCAAGCACAGCAGATTTATCTCATGGTGATGGAGTGCATGAAGAAAAGAGAGCTGGTAAGTAAAAAAAAAGAATAACACAATAGAAAAGATATGTTCCATATTTTTACCCTATTTTACTTTTTTATGTGCTGTATATTTATGATTAACATTTTTGCTTAATTGTGTCATACAGATTTGATAATAAACACGACTCATGATCCTTCATTTGGTCTCATTTGCCTTTTTTCATTATTATTCTCTTATTGATGTTCTCTTTTTCTTTTCATAAATCTGAAAAGATCCATCTCACAACTTTTCATTGTTTCCATGTCATTGCATTGAATGTTATTGTCCTTCATGAACACATAGACATGAAACTTCCTTGAGACCCTGAGACATGTGAAGAGCACATTTTAACTATGAGAACATTTAAAAACTAAATAAAGCTTTAGCATCTTCACTATACTGTGTGGTAATTTATCTTAATTTATCATAACTGGTTTAGATTTTAGTGTTAAAATATGCTGTAAATATTTTTTTGTCTTAGAATAACTGTGCAAACTTAGTGTACTATAATTGTAACGAGGAAGTGACGCTGACAACAGGGGTGAGGATCCAAATGCAGGGTTTTATTAACAGGATGGTCAGGCAAGCAATGGTCAACACAAGAGCAAACAGATGTATAAGGGCAATCCAGAGTCAAAGTTAAAATAACAGACAGATGGTCACAAGGCAGGCAGCAAACAGAAGTAAAATACATGGCAAAGCAAGACAAAGGTAATGCATTGTAATGTCATTAAACAGATAACAAGACTCTGCAACATTAAATGTGTTTTTGCTGCTCATGTAGTGCAGTAATCAGTCTCAAAAGCAGCATCAGCTGTTAGAGTCTATTTAGTGGAGACTTGGAGCAGGTGTGTGTGTGTGTGTGTGTTGCGTGACTGAATATGTAGTCCATAACATGGCGGATTTGTATATATAATATGCATCAGTAGAGTTGTCACCCAATGTCATTCCATTCATTGATCATTAGTCAAGTCAAGGACTCTGTTATACTGTTATAATTCTGAAGAATAAATTGCTTCTGAAAATTAAGCTTTGCATTTAAAAGTTAAATATATTTTTAAAAATATTAAAATAAAAAACAGCTGTTTTAATAATAAATAAGCAATTTTCTATTTTCTGAACCCAAACCTTTCCATGCTTGTGCAATTGTAAAATAGTTTTATTTAGCATACTATGTTTTTACATGCTTCCCACACAGTGTTTACCTTTTGTGCTGAAACAGATCACAGTCTTTCGCACGGCATCAGAAGGTCAGCAGGATATTGAGATGGCCATCTTAACTGCTCTGCTGAAAGGTGAATTTATGTTCAGACCACAGTCACACAGTTTACAATAGCACTGACCCTGAACATCCTTTAAACATCCGGAAAAATTATTTGTTTCTTATTAGAATATTACTACTGTTAATATTCATATTTTCCGAAATATATTGTTTATCTTGTTTTTTTCTCTCTAATTCCATAAACATTCTTAAACATTTGGTTTTGACAAGAAAGTTCACTCAAAAAAAACATTTCTGTCATCAGCTAACCTTTGACATGTTCCAAACCAGTTTGAGGTTTTTTTTTTGTTTTTTTGTTTTGAGTTCTGTTGAACATAAAAGAAGATAATTTGAAAAATGTTGGAATCTGGTAACCAAACAAATGCTATGTAAGTCAGTGGTTACCATTTAAATTATTAAATTATTTCCTCTGGGTTTGTCAGGCACAAATGCCTCAGCTCCAGATCAGCTGAGTTTGGCTTTGGCCTGGAACCGTGTGGATATTGCTCGAAGTCAGATCTTTGTTCATGGACAACACTGGCCTGTAAGTGATGCCATACACAATGGGCAATAAGGGCCACAAACATTGCATCCAGAAAGTATTCATAGCGATTTACTTTTTCCACTACTTTCTTTTTATGTTACAGCCTTATTCCAAAATGGAGTAAATAAATGTATTTCCTTACAATTCTACACACAATACCCCATAATGACAATGTGAAAGAAGATTTTTTTTAATTGTTGCTAATTTATTAAAAATAATAGCCTGGAGATGTTAATTGGGGTAACATCTCAGCAGCTTAAAATTGGAGTTCTCCTGTGGTAAATTTAGTTGGTTGAAAATGATTTGAAAAGACATGCACCTGTCTATATAAGGTCCCAGAGTTGACAGTGCATGTCAAAGCACAAACCATGCATGAAGACAAAGGAATTGTCTGTAGAACTCAGGTTTGACAGGATTGACTGCTCATCACCAGGCTAATACATCCCTACAGCGAAGCATGGTGGTGGCAGCATCATGCTGTGGGGATGTTTTTCAGCAGCAGGTACTGGAAAACTAGTCAGGATAGAGGGAAAGATGAATGCAGCAATGTACAGAGACATCCTGAATGAAAACCTGTTTCAGAGTGCTCTTGAACTCAGACTGGGGTGACGTTTCATCTTCCAGCAGGACAATAACCCAAAGCACACTGCCAAAATATCAGTGGACTGGCTTCACAACAACTGTCCTTGAGTGGCCCAGCCAGAGGCTATACCTAAATCCTATTGAGCATCTCTTGAGAGATCTGAAAATGGCTGTACACAGTTGCTTCTCATCCAACCTGATAGAGCTTGAGAGGTAATGCAAAGAGGAATGGGCAAAAATTCCCAAACACAGGTGTGCCAAGCTTGTGGCATCATATTCAAAAAGACTTGAGGCTGTAGTTGCTGCAAAACATGCATCAACAAAGTATTGAGCAAAGGCTGTGAATACTTATGTACATGTGGTTTTTCAGGTTTTTTTTATTTGTAATAAATTTGCAACAATTTAAAAAAATCTCGTTTCACATTGTCATCATGGGGTATTGTGTGTAGAATTGTGAGGAAATAAATTAATTTAATCTTTTTTTTTAAAATAAGGCTGTAACAAAAAAACGATAGAAAACAGTGAATCACTATGAATACTTTCCCGATGCACTGTAGCACACAACTTGCTTATACAGATTAAAATGAATAATGGTTATTAAAAAGAAAACACATGATGGCGCTATTAAATACTCATTTCTCTATATTTTCAGCCTGCTGGGTCTCTGCCCACCTCATCCACAGGTCAGCAGGACAAACCAAAGAGCCCCATCGCCACCCGTGTCAGCAAAGGTAAACCTGCCAGGGGCAAGAAGGGCAAAGGTGCCAAATCAAAACCTGAGCCACCGGAGGAGACAGACCCTAGAAAACTAGAGCTGCTGAACTGGGTAAGATTTACTCTTTAATAGTTGTATCAAAAGTACCAGAACTGGGTTAACATAGAATCCAATGATAGACTCTATGATGACTCTATTCTTTGTACATTTGCATGATTGAACAAGAGCATCAGATGTTTGTATCCAAAATGTTTTTTCTTGTATCATAGCCTAGTCTTGTATTGCCATACCTCAGATCGTTAAAAAAATTCTGAACTCCATAAGGATGTTTGGAATCACAATGGCTTTGTTTCCAGGGAATCCATTCAACAAATCAGATGATGACATCAAAACTACCAAAGAGTTTACCTTCGTGTGTGCTTTATGTATCAGATCATCAGGCAACAGTTTGTGCATATGATATCTGTGACTAAATGTAATTGTAGCCAATCCCAGACAGGCTGAGCGCATAAACCTATTAGCCAACTATTAGAAGCATTTAAGTCAGAATTTAATTCAGCATAAGCTCTGTGCTTTTGCAAATAGTTACAAGTCTAACAAAATGAACACAATGTAACAAAGAGTTTTGTTTAGAGTATATAGAAGTATTTTACGGTAACAATCAAATTCAGATGGTGATTACATTTATATGCCAGACTTAATCTGAAATTCCAGAGTTTAAATATATGTTGCAATGGTTTCTGAAATCGGAAATTGTGTTAAAATGATTCTATAAGTCTTGAACTTTTGTTAATTTGACAACAGTTTTTAGCACTGTGCACATGCTTTACTCACTTCTGAATATACAGGGATTTGTATTAATTTATTTTTATATATGTGCACATGTTCTTGCTAGGGATTTAAAATGTCATATTTTTATGTGTTAAACAGGTTAATTCTCTGGAGCAGGCCATGATGGATGCACTCGTGCTTGACAGAGTGGATTTTGTGAAGCTCCTTATTGAAAATGGCGTCAATATCCACCATTTCCTGACAATCCCACGGCTTGAAGAGCTTTATAACACAGTCAGCACACAATCATCAATTAATTCAATATTAAAGGGTCACAGCTCTGTTTTTACAGTGCTCTCTATTTAACAGAGCACTATTTATGCTTTAATAACAGAGATGATGATGAATATGACCCACATGTCCAGTTATCTGAGCTTTCACTGTTGTCATCCTCTCTTTCTGTGCAATATGGTTAGAAAACGTCAGTTGTGTGTTCAGGATATCCATTATCATCTCATCTAATGTAATCTGTTGTTGAGGAGAAAGCACTTAGCCCACTAACATCTGTGTGTTTTATAGACGATGGCCTTTTTTTAACTGATTTTTTTCTTCTTTTTTTGCTTTAAGAGGTTAGGGCCGATTAACACACTACATTTTGTGGTCAGAGATGTAAAAAAGGTAAAGTTCATTATTCATATTTTGGGTTATCATTTTTGACACTTAGATTATTGGAATGAGTTAAAACATAAACTGCATTTGTTTTAGTCGATTTGAATGTTATTACTCGATTGAATGGGCTGTATCAGTCATTATCAGCTGATAGATATGGACCAGTAGGGGCCTTCTGCGCCTACTGGTAGGCTCAGAAGGCTGTTATTATCCATTCACATGGTTAATCAGCTGTAGATCACATATGGCTGTGGCCGTAATTAACGAGAACGAGATCATTATTACAAGAATAATTCATTTATTTTCTTTTCGGCTTAGTCCCTTTATTAATCAGGGGTCGCCACAGCGGAATGAACCGCCAACATATCAGCATATGTTTTATGCAGTGGAGGTCCTTCCAGCTGCAACCCATCACTGGGAAACATTCATACACTACGGAAAATTTAGCCTACCCAATTCACCTATGTCTTGGACTTGGGGAAACCGGAGCACCTGGAGGAAACCCAAACGAACATGGGGAAAACATGTAAACTCCACACAGATATGCCATTGTCTTGCTGTGAGGTGATTGTGTAACCCACTGAGCCCCAGGGATTCCCAGTGAATTATTTATATTATTTATTAAATTTCCCAATTATTGTATTTTACCTCTACCCCAACCCTAAACCCAACCATCACAGTAATGTAAAAACAGATCTGGATCTGGAGTCTTCTCTATTATTATAGCTGATTAACCATGTGGATGGATCATAACAGCCATCTAATGCCTACCAGTAGGCGCAGAAGGCCCATACTGGCCCATATCTATCAGCTGATAAGCACTGATAACATCCATTCAATGGAGTAATAACATACAAAGCAGGTGTTAACTGTAGCCTAGTAGTTTAATTTTACTCTACTGCATAATACAGCAATAGAAAGACATAGATTTTATTTCATAGTGTTATGACATTCATATTTCTAGGGAAATCTCCCGCCAGATTACCAGATCACCCTGATTGACATTGGACTGGTCCTGGAGTATCTCATGGGAGGGGCGTATCGCTGTAACTACACTAGGAAAAGTTTTCGCACTCTTTATAATAATCTCTATGGACTAAAACGAGTGAGTTATCACCAACTCATTATGCATGCATGCACATCTGAAAATACACAAGCAAAGTTTTATGCAAACATAACTGACAACATGGATAAGTATCTGTATATTAATAATGGCCAAAATAACGTGAGTGGATTCATAATAATTTATTTATCCACCTTAAAGGTATCCAAGATGCAAATGATTTTCAGTATACAATTTTTTTTCAGTAGACCATTAAAAATGTGGTCAGGAAAAGTCTGCATAGTGGGAATCTAAAACAAAAAGTTATTTTTTTTATTTTAAAATGTTTGGTAAACCTTGGTGATCATTAAAATGTAAAGTGCAAATGTCTACTGACACTTTGAGGGTTAAAATATCACAACAGATTTAGTATGGTAATGAATATGTATATGGAAATGGAAATGTTTGGTCCTGGTGGCATAAATCTGCTGCACTGCTGCTGCTTTGATTATTGGTACTCAGACCTGCTACTGGCAGTATTCAGAGATGCTGCCTGCGAATATAACAAACTACTGCTGCTAACAAAACATACATAAAAAACCCCTATAGTAGATGGGGTGAAGGAGGGTATCCGAAAAAATGCAGCAGATTGCTAGTATAAACAACACTGAGGTATTTAAATGTTGAGGAGCTGAAAGGACAGTAACCAATCACCTGCACCATGAGTTGATCATGTGGTCAGAAGCAGATTGAATAGGACATATCTGCCTACGTTGCGAAATAATAGTTTCATGACAGAACTTTCTACTTCTGTCATGACAACTCACAGATAGATTTAGTATGATAATATTGATGTGTTCGGTTTTGGTGGCACAGATTTTTTTCTTTTTTTTTGTACCATTAAGAATGGTCTATCTTGCAGAATGGATTAACACTGGTGCTCTAGACCAGGGGTTCCCAAACTTTTCAGCACGCGACCCCTAAAATAACAATACCAGTGACTCGCGACCCCCAATATCCCCTGAGGTGGTAATAAATACAGAAAACTTGCATGCAATGGCGCGCACACACACCAATAGACCACAGTCTATTCTTTGTTTATTTTTTTATGTATTTCAGTGCTGTAAATGGGCCAGAAAGTTTAACCTGGTGTTATAAAATCAATCTGCTGCATCTGACGCTATTGCTGTGTCTTTAATATAATGTATTTACCCCAGGGGTCGCAATCCAATAGAACAAGTAAATAAGCTACTATAGTAACTATAAACGACTGTTTTTTTTCTTTTCTTTTCAGTTGGTTATGGATAAAATATGGTAATTCTTATGGTCTAATAATAATAAGTAGATTTTTGGAAATCACCAGGCGACCCCCCTTTATTGTTCCGCGACCCCTCAAGGGGTCCCGACCCCCACTTTGAGAACCACTGTTCTAGACCAGTGGTTCTCAAACTTTTTTTCAAGTACCACCTCAGAAAAAAAATCTCTTCAAGTACCACCATAATGACGAGGCAGATTAATTCCCAATATTATTGTCAGCCATTTTAAACATTATAAATAGTTTAAACATTAACACTACTGTGCTTACAGGTAAAAATGAGTAAATAAATAAATTAATTAAAAGTCTATGTTTAAAGTGCGCTTTTAAAAGATAAAATTGGTAGGCTACTGTTCTTAAAGTAAAAATAAAACTGCTTTAGTTAAATGTAAAGTATTAACAAAAAATGTAAATGTTGCTTGGACCTCGTAAATATTGGCTATATGTTATCAAATTCATTTATAAACCATTTTGATAAATTTTGACATATGTTGCATGTACTGTACACATGACATTTGTATATCTTTGAAATCTAAACATTAACTTGTATTTTAAAATGAATGATTTGGAATTACATATTTACATTAGAAATTAGATCCAGCTCGTTTATTTACAGAATGTGTGTCAGAAAAGTAAGCGACTACATGCATAAATACACTGCTTGACCAATTCATACATGATTTATCCATTCATACGTGCAGATTTAGGATCTCATTTTAAGTGGGCCGCAGTTTGTGTTAACCACATACAGAGACTAACTTTAATTAGGCTACTGTATATTCTAGCTCCAAGCTTTAAGCATGGCAAAGTTGCTTGAGTTTATGTTCTGTGTCCCTGTGTCTGTTTTCTTGTAGCCCAAAGCCTTGAAACTTTTGGGTATGGAGGTAAGCCATTTTTAAAACATTTGATAAAACAGCTTTTAAAAACATTCAGAATGACTAATATGTTTATATACATCAAATATGAACACACAAATGAGGAAAGAAATGAGATTTTTAACTCAAACCTGCAGTATTTACTGTCGCTTTCATTTATATTTCCCCTGAGAGGACGATGACCCAAGACCTAAAGGCAAAAAAAAGATGAAGAAGAAGAAAGAGGAGGAGATCGACATTGATGTTGATGATCCTGAGGTCAGTCGCTTCCAGTACCCTTTCCACGAGCTAATGGTGTGGGCAGTGCTGATGAAGCGGCAGAAGATGGCGCTGTTTCTCTGGCAGAGGGGCGAGGAGGCCATGGCCAAAGCTCTGGTGGCCTGCAAACTCTACAAAGCCATGGCGCACGAGTCCTCACGGAGCGAGCTGGTGGATGACATCTCACAGGATCTTGACAATAACTCAAAGTCAGAAACTATTATATTATATTATATTATATTATATTATATTATATTATATTATATTATATTATATTATATTATATTATATTATATTATATTATATTATATTCAGTGGTGGAAAGAGTATTGAAAATTCATACTCAAGTAAAAGTATCATTACTTGCTTAAAAATGTAGTGCAGGTAGAGTAAAAATATTTGTTGTAAATATTACACAAAGTATGAGTAAAAGTAGCTATTTTTAAAGTACTTAAGAGTAGTGAGTAGTGTGCATTAACCTACGCTAGGAATGGTTTATGCGTTTACATGTAATTTGTGCATGTGTGTGTGTAAACGTACTATTCTGTAGTGCATTTAGTTATTGTTTAAGGCCATCATACAGTAAACATCTGTCATCTTCGTCTTTGGGTTCTTGCGTGTAAAGTATCTTCTTGGACACTTTTAATGCTTCCAAACAGTTTTCTGCATGTCTTGAGGTAGTTCAGTATGATGCGATTTATTTTCTATGTGCGATTTGATTTTTTACTCAAATCAAAGTAAAAGTGCACATTTTTAAACTACTTAGTAAATTACAATTCCTGAGAAAAACTACTTAATTACAGTAATTTGAGTATTTGTTATTTGTTTCTTTTCACCACTGATTATATTTTATTATATTATATTATATTATATTATATTATATTATATTATATTATATTATATTATATTATATTATATTATATTTTAGTAAGGGGGGGGGGGCGAGGCGGTGGCACAGTAGGTAGTGCTGTCGCCTCACAGCAAGAAGGTTGCTGGTTCGAACCTCGGCTCAGTTGGCGTTTCTGTGTGGAGTTTGCATGTTCTCCCTGCCTTTGCTTCGGTTTCCTTCGGGTGCTCCGGTTTCCCCCACAGTCCAAAGACATGCGGTACAGGTGAATTGGGTAGGCTAAATTGTCCGTAGTGTATGTGTGTGTGGATGTTTCCCAGAGATGGGTTGCAGCTGGAAGGGCATGCGCTGCGTAAAAAAACTTGCTGGATAAGTTGGTGGTTTATTCCGCTGTGACGACCACGGATTAATAAAGGGACTAAGCCGACAAGAAAATGAATGAATGAATGATATGTTAAGGGGCGGATTTAGTGATTTGGGGGCCCTAAGCAATTCCAGCCATGGGGCTAATCAGTCACACTTGGTATTTATTTCTTATTATTTATTTTTAGTTGTCTTTTTCTCAGAACACTCAATCATCTTAATTAAATGAAGTCTTAACTGTTAACATTTTGGATTGGAAAGATTATTTGAAATGGAAGCGTAATGGTCCAGACAAATACCAAACATAAAAAAGCATATGCTGATGTATTAATAATAGTTAAAAATATAGAAAGTTAACATAGATAATAACTTTTTTTTTCTGTAAAACTATAAATTAAAAAATTACAAAATAAAAAAGAATCAACTGCAAACTCTATTTAATGCAATATGTTTAAATCATTTATTTGCTTAGGGCAAAAAACAGTACTTTTTAAATCTTTTATTTCAAAATGAATGTTTCTTAGAGTGTCTCCACTCACACAAAACCTCTTTCTCTTTCTGTCTTTTCTCACTCACGCTCAGGGATTTTGGTCAGTTAGCATATGAGCTGCTTGATCAGTCGTACAAGCATGATGAACACATGGCCATGAAGCTGCTGACGTATGAGCTGAAGAACTGGAGCAACTCCACCTGTCTGAAGCTTGCTGTAGCTGCCAAACACAGAGACTTCATAGCTCATACCTGCTCACAGATGCTGCTCACTGACATGTGGATGGGCTGCCTGCGGGTCGGCAAGAGCAATGGACTCAAGGTGTGCAACTCAAAATAAACCATGCATTAATACACCACTGAACCTTAAACTTATGCATTAACTATGTTTTAAATTTATGTCGTTCCCAGGTAATCCTCGGAATCATTTTCCCTCCTGCCATCCTTCTTCTCGACTTCCGAACTGGAGATGATCTGTCTTATCAAAACTCTAAAGACAAAGAGGAGGTTAAAGACAAAGACGACGATACCAAATCTACCAAGGTAAAATCATAGTTTAAAAGTGGTAAGTAACAAATTTTATGAAAATAATAATAATATTGTGCGGCACGGTGCCTCAGTGGTTAGCACTGTTGCCTCACAGCAAGAAGGTCACTGGTTTGAGTCCTGGCTGAATCAGTTGGCATTTCTGTTTGAAGTTTGCATGTTCTCCCTGTGTTCCTGTGGGTTTCCTCTGAGTGCTCCGGTTTTCCTCACAGTCCAAAACTTATGTGCCGAAGCGTATGTGTGTGTGAATAAGTGTTTATAAGTGTTTGCCAGTACTGGGTTGCAGCTGGAAGGGCATCCGCTATGTAAAACATAAGCTGGAATAGTTGGCGATTCATTCCTCTGTGGCGCCCTTTAAATTAGGTAATTGTGACTTTATCTCACAATTCAAATTTTGTTTAAGTTGCGAGTTTGTGTTGTGCATTTTGGACTTTTTTCTCAAAATTGCGTTATACAAGCCTGCATTTGCTAGTTATTAAGACAGAGTTGCAAAACATGCATAAATGCAATGGTGAAAAAAACTGAATTACACGAAAAAGTCAGAACTGGGCAGATAACAATCCATAATTCATACTTTATTTACCATTCCATGACTTCCATTTAGCTGGGGAAAGGCTATTATCTTACGGCTGCGTAATTAACTAACAATTCTGACTTTATAACCCACAACTCCATATTTATTTCTCCATTCTGAAAGAATAAAATCAAATCTGCAAAAATCTTACATTACACCTTGCTTCAATTTAAAATTTTTGTCCAAGCCAGTTCTATATTCATTCATTCATTTTTTTGGGCTATATTCCTTTATTTATCTGGGGTCGCCACAGCGGAAAATTCACCAACTTATCCAGCATATGTTTGATGCAACAGGTGCCCTTTAAGCTGCAACCCATCACTGGGAAACGCCCATACACTCTCATTCAATCATATACACTACGGACAGTTTAGCTTACCCATTCACTTATAGCAGATGTCTTTGGACTTGTGGGGTACCGGAGAAACCCACGCCAACATGGAGAGAACATGCAAACTCCACACAGAAATGCCAACTGACCCAGCCGTGGCTCGACCTTCTTACTGTGAGACAACAGTGTGCCACCATGACACCCAGTTCCATATTATGATTATAAAAGTTATTCATGTACTGTATAATTTGCCTATTATTTTATTTTTTATGAACCTTCCGCAAACATTTTGATCAATGTTAGATGGGTGGGGTGTGAGGTAGGGTTTTGAATTCCTTTTTGTAGTAAGCTAAATTCTTTGTGATAAAATACTTTCACTACTCTATCTTGGAAGCCGGCAGCTAGCTTTCTGCAACTCTCACATGGTCGCCCACTGAAGCTAAGCAGGGCTATACCTGGATGGGAGGCCACATGAGAAAGCTAGGTTGCTGTCGGAAGTTGTGTTAGTGAGACCAGCTGGGGGCGCTCAACCTGCGGTCTGTGTGCGTTCTAATGCCCCAGTATATTGATGGGGACTCCATACTGTTCAGTAAGCACCGGCTTTTGAATGAGACGTTAAACTGATATCTTGACTCTCTGTGGTCGTTAAAAATTCGTTGAAAAAGAGTACGAATTTAACCCGGCATCCTGGCCCACTTGCCTCCGTCCATCATGGCCTGCTAACCATTCCTATATCATAATTGGGTTAATGTCTCCTCTTCACCAATTCAATGGTGTGCGGTCTGGTGCAATATGGCTGCCGTCACGTCATTGAGGTAGATGCTGCACACAGGTGGTGGATAAGGAGATTCCCCCCAAAAATGTGTAAAGCACTTTGAGTGTCCAGAAACGTGCTATTTAAATGTAAGGAATTATTATTATTATTATTATTATTAAGAGATATGGTCCATCTCTTTCTTGTAAAGATTTAGGTGGCACTGTATGTATGTAGGTTTTTACAATAAAAATCTTAGCACACTCATATTTTGAATGAGATGAAAAGTGAAAAAATATCATAATGGATATTCAATTTTCAGGATGGCACAGTGAGCATGGATGCAACATCCAAGAAGGGTGATGAGGAAGATGGTAAAAAGAAACAGAAACGACTGCCTGTTGGAAAGAAGATTTACTATTTCTTTAACGCTCCATATACCAAGTTCTGGTTCAATACGGTATGTGATACTTTAAAAAACAAATGATAAAAAAAAGTCACAGCAGTCATCTATAACTGGTATTGAATTTATTTTTCTTCTTAGACTGCATACCTGGTGTACCTGATGCTGTATAACTACATCATCCTGGTGAAAATGGAGAGATGGCCATCATTGCAGGAATGGATCGTCATTTCCTACATCATCACTCTTGGACTGGAGAAAGTTAGACAGGTGATGCATACAAGCAAAATAATATGTTGCTATATTATAATTAGGGCTGTTAATCAATTAATTATTTAGCCTACTTTTATTAATAGTCTTAATAAGTAGAATTTAATTAATGGATTTAATTAAATCACATATTAAATCTGACTGAGACATTTAGGAGCTTTCGCCTTGAATACATGACGTGAATTCACTTTTTTACACAATTTGGAGGACAGAGTATTAATTGCAAAGAAAAATGTATTGCAATTACATTGCAAATAAAAACACATTTTCTTGCAGTTTACTAATTAATTCAATTAATGCATTGAATAGACAGGCCTAATGATATGTTTACACATTTATTTTTTAATTTAATACTCTAATAATTCTTTAATACTTTATTTGTGTGCAGATCCTGATGTCAGAGCCCGGAAAGCTGAAACAGAAGATAAACGTTTGGCTTGAGGAGTACTGGAACATCACTGATCTGGCTGCCATCACCACCTTCCTCATGGGCTTGTTGCTGCGCTTGCAGAACGAGCCCTACATGGGCTATGGCCGCGTCATCTACTGCGTGGACATCATCTTCTGGTACATTCGTGTACTCGACATCTTCGGAGTTAACAAGTATCTAGGACCGTACGTCATGATGATTGGAAAAATGGTAAGTGCAAACAGAAAAGCCTAAATATGTGTTTTGACCTATGGGGCTGGTAAACCATTGCAGAAATGGATATTTGTACAAAAGAATGCATGAGAATGAGAAAGTTTTTAGAATCTCTTCAGGAACTGACAAGGCCAAAATTATAAACAAAACACAGCTTTTTATGTGACTAAATAACCTTACTTGTTAACAAAAGAAAAGTAAATTGAAAGATACATAAAAAAAAAAACATTAAACAGTACAAACGGGTACAACATAAAATGGCGTCAGTTCCTCTACTTTCCTTTGAAGTGGCAAAAACAAAGTATATATCCTGATAAGTTAAGACTACTTAAATTATTTGTGGAAAGTAATTCCCCTAGTTTGTTTGAATAATGGGAAATTGTCAACTCAATTAACTGAGTTGACCAAATATGGTCTTTTCATTGAATTAACTTAAAAGTTTAATACGGATCATTTAAAATGGCTAATAAACCTCCTAAACCTCCACATTTTTTACTTACTTTTTTTCTTTACTTACTTGCTTTATTTCATTACTTACTTACTCCCAGGGCCGTTTGTATCCAAGTTGATATTTAGCCGCATCATGTTGATGTTTCGTAACAACTAATTTTTACGAGGTGGGTTGTTAGCCCAGTGCTCAACCCAAACCTGGAAGACCAAGACATACACACATACACTATGGACAATTTAGCTTTCCCAATTCAGCTAGAGCGCATGTCTTTGTACTTGTGGGAGAGACCGGAGCAGAAGAAGATGCTGTGTGTTGACGTCAACACGGGCAGAACATGCAAACTCCACACAGAAATGTTAACTGACCCAGTCAGGACTCAAACCAGCGATCTTCTTGCTGTGAGGTGATAGCACTACCCACTGCGCTACCGTGTTACCCCTGTGTGTATATCAATTAATAAAAATGTATATAAGCATTTAAACATCTACTTACTAATTTTACTTTTCTGTCCTACCTCAGCAAAATGACCCCCTTGTGACATATAACATGTATCGACCAATCAGCGCTGTTGTCAAAGGAGAATTTCAAGTGCAATCAATCATTTTAAACAGAGACAAGGTGAATCGTTTGAAGAAATTAAAATGTTAAAATATTAATACTTTTTTTGCTGCTTAATGAGTAAGTTAAATACACCGTTTAAGTTTTGATGCCATAACTTGTATTTTAAGTCATGTCAAGTGATATTAACTTAATATCTGTAGTAATGACAACAGAGGGGTTTACAGTATATAGGTCTACAATATACACAAAATTTCCAGTGATTATAATACTAAATCACAAAGCGAAACGTGGTCGTTAAACAGGTAGTGGTCAGTGAACGGGGAATCTTAGTTCTGCCAACCTGATTTCACCAAGTAGGACATGTTCCTGGATGAACGTCTATGTTGATCCTGGAACAACATTACAATCAGCCAATCAGAATTAAGGGATACGTTTACAGTTTATGTTAAGTTTAGGCTTGCGGTTAGGTTTATGCACTTATTTATGCAACTATTATACCTCTGAGTTTGAGAATAATTTACAGTTATGGTTGGATTTAAGGTAGGGAATAGCTATGGATTACATTTTCAAACAAAAATAATGTTTCAGGATCAACATAGATGTTAATCCAGCATCGCTTCGTACTCGGCAATATCATAACATCCTCTTAGTACACAGTAACAAACAGTAAGATCTCAAAACAGAAATAATTATGTTTTTTTATGTGTGTGCAGATGATCGACATGCTGTATTTTGTGGTGATCATGCTGGTGGTCCTCATGAGCTTCGGCGTTGCGCGCCAGGCCATCCTGCACCCGGACGAAGAGCCGACGTGGCGTCTGGCGAGAAACATTTTCTACATGCCCTATTGGATGATCTATGGAGAAGTGTTTGCTGACTCGATAGACCGTAAGACTAGAATTCATAGTAAGATTCTGTTTCCTGATTCATGTGTGGATGATCCCGTGGTCTCGTCTTCATTCCACCCGCTCTGTCTCTGTGAGCTCTGCAGAACAAATACCTGTCTCATCTGTTGATCATGTGGTGAATCATGTGTGATGGACTGAGTGTGTGATAGTGCTGGTCTTTACCTGCCCCGCTTGTGAGGTTTGTACAGTAGATGTAGTTTCGACCTGTTCTTAGTTGTCGATTGATGAACTTGTTGCAATGTTTTTGTTGCTGTTGTATACTTGTTCACTTGTTTAAATAGTAATTTATGATTATAAAATTCTTATATTTTGATCAACTTAACCTTTTTTTCCTGATATACAGTGGTGAAAAACAGTATTGAACATGTCATGTTTTTCTTGGAAATAATATTTCTAAAGGAGCTGCTGACATGAGATTGAACCAGATTTAGATAAAACCCCAAACAATACAAACATAAAAATAAAACAAAACAGAACAAAGTAAAAAAAAAAGTGTTGTGTTTTATCAATGAAATGACACAAGGAGAAAGTACTGAACTATTTTATAAAAAAGCTTTTTTTAGTGATGGCAGCTTCAAGACGTCTCTCATATGGAGAGTGAAGTCACATAAATTGCTCAGGTGTGGGTTTTTCACAGACTTCAACAGTGTAAAAGTCTTGATGGTTCTGTGGGTCTCCTCTATCAAAACTGATCTTTATTTTGTATTTTATATTGGATTTAGTTCAGGTGATTGGCCTGGCCATTCTACAGCTTGATTTTCTTTCTCTAAAATTATTTGAGAGTTTCCATTTTGTGTTTTAGATCGTTGTCTTGCTGATATGTCCACCCTAGTTTTATCTTCATCCTGATAATGTAGATGTTGAACTGAAGCAGCTAATATTAATTTACAATGACAAAGGGCAGAGGGTAGGCATGGGCCGGTATAATATTCTGACGGTATGATAACCTTGGATAAAAATATCACAGTTTCACAGTATCATGGTAGTGTGATAACTGCTCTAAAATATGTTCTTTTAAAATGTTTGGGCAACAAAACAAAAACCATTTGAAAACAATATATTTTATTTTTTTTGAATGATTTATAATATTTTGGAGCAGTAAACATGTCAGACTAAATAGATCAAATGAATCATTGATTTCTGCTGTCTCCATTAGTTTCAAAAACACAGATTTCTTTACAATTTATAACTGCATCTTTGGATATTGTTTTTTGCTGAAGATACTGTTGTCCTAAAAAACAAAACAAAAAAAAATCTAAATAAAAAATCTTGCACATACCTTAGGAACGGTATTGCAAAAAGAGATTTGAGCTGCTGTCTGGGCTTTCACTGCCTTTTTACACCTTCCTTTCTTCATGTGTTCAATACTTTTTTTTTCCCATGTCATTTCATTTTATTATGCTTAACTTCATTTTTTATACTAATTAGGTTTGTTTTCTTTGAAAATATGGATTTCTTTGGTTGTTACCAACATTCGGTGAAAATGTCAAGATAACAGCACTTTTAGAAATATGTTTTCTGGGAAAAATGGTGATGAGTTCAATACATTTTTTTGCCTGCTGTATAAGGTCTGAAAACATCAAATGGAATATTTTATATTGACCTCTTTTAGCATTTTTTAGACATGCTTATGAGTAGTTTATAAAATAAAAAGGAATGTGTTATTTAGAACATGACCTATTAATGGCAAATCCACAGAATAAATAACAGCTGTACTTTTTTACAGGGCTGTATATAAAAACTAGTTGTACTACTACTGTTCAAATGTTTTGGGGTTAGTTAGATTTTTTTTTTTCTTATGCTCAAGTCTACATTTATTTTAGCAAAATTACTATAAAACAGCAATATTGTGAAATATTATTAGAAAATTTTCTATTTTAATGAAAATGTAATTGTAAAAATCTATGTAATAAAAGTCATTCATTATTTGTGGGGATAAAGCTACATTTTTAGGCAGTCATTACTTTAGTGTTCAGTCTGGTCCTTCAGAAATCATTGTAATATCAGGCCTGTTGCCAGCCTGGTGAAAAGGGTGGGGGTTTTTTCTCAAAAAGTGGACATTTTTGCAGTTACTCGTCTTATTTAATATTCAATTTTGAGATTTAAATACTGACTTTTAGTGACATTTTAAGCACTATTTTAGCTGAATTAGCTTGTCGGATGGTCACACATTTTCATGCACCAAAATATTTTTTACAGATTCAGAATAAAGAAATATTAAACAAATACTTATTTTTAATATACAATTTTATTACATCATTTACCATTAGAAAAAAATAGGAATCTGTTAAAGTTTTACATTAAAAACTGTAGCCTATTGTCATTTATTAGTCAAATAACAAACTGGCCAGCACATTCAACTTTTCTCGGTCAAAATTTGCCCATTTAAATAATAAAAAATTAAAACATATGAACAATAATAATAATAATGTAGAGATTCACAATTGCATAGCCTCTTTTTGTAAAAAAATAAATTAATTAAAAAAGTACATTTAAAAAAAACCAACAATAGCTAAAATAGTTTGATAACAGCAATAGCAAAAATAGTATTCAAATTAATTTTTATTATAGGCCGATTTTGGTGCTTCACCCCTTTTATGGATGATTTGTTTTTCAAGAATAAACTCCAAGATTTAGAACAAAAACTACTTGTAAAATGTTTCCTCATTTAAATACAAGACAGTAGTGAAAGGTGACTGAGATTGAATATTTTTCACCGATGTGACAGTCAACAAAGGATTCCGCTTGATCTTAAAGCCTTTTTCTCAATGGATTATTTTCACTATTTATCGAATCACCCGAACCCCCGCCCCCCCTGGCTACAAGCCTGAATATGATTACGAATCACTGATGAACAAACTGCAAGATATTTTCACTTAGTAAGTAGTTTTAAAATAAATATTACTAACCCATAAACATTTAAACTGTGGTTTTCTTTCTACACTTAAAATAAAAAATCTTGAACTATTCGCTCATAATTTACTGTAGGAAAAATATCAGATAATGAAATGCAAAAAAAGTTCTCCATAATCTGTACTCTCTCTCTCTTTTTTACATTTTTCATACTACTAGTCTATGCGATGGAGATTAACCGTGAGTTTACAGTCATTTTCTTCAACTACACCCATAAATAAAATGTAATTATCAAAAACTATACAAAAGAATCGTGTCATGCTTGTGATATAACCACCGTTGTATGACGTATAACAGCGCCCTGTGGAGAAAACATGTATGATGAAGATGGAAAAAAGCTTCCTCCGTGTATACCTGGTGCGTGGCTCACACCTGCCATCATGGCCTGTTACCTACTGGTAGCCAACATCTTACTAGTCAACCTGCTCATCGCTGTGTTCAAGTGAGACTGCATGCAAAATATTATAATGTATTGAATTAGGACTTTCACATATATTCAGTTTCAGCACTGATCTAACCTATTCCCTTCACAGTAACACATTCTTTGAAGTAAAATCCATCTCCAACCAGATCTGGAAGTTTCAACGCTACCAGCTCATCATGACGTTTCACGACAGACCAGTTCTTCCTCCACCACTCATCATCTTCAGCCATATTTACATCGTGTTGAAGCGCCTGTGCTGCCGCTGCCGGAAGAAACAAGAAGGAGAGCTGGATGACAGAGACCACGGCTTGAGTATTTACTGCTTTTGTTCAATTTTAGTGCTGGTAGCGTATCAGTGAAATAGCAAACCGTTTAACCTGTTTGTAATGATGTTTTTTTTCCAGAGCTGACTCTGAGTGCTGAGGAGCTGAAGAGTCTGTATGAGTTTGAGGAGCAGAATGTGGAGGAGTATTTCAGAGAGAAGGAGGATGAGGTGCAGTCTTCCAATGATGAGCGCATCCGAATCACTTCCCAGAGGTACTGGATGGAAAACAGCTAGTGCAACTTCTAATTTTATTTCAGAAGTTGACAATAAAGGTTTTTCTAATGTTTAGAATGTGTTTTTTTAGGAATAAGTTTTCTGTTTTTTGGTTTATTTATTTAATTTTTTAAAAGAAAATATTTTGCAGTAAGGTAAAATTTTACTCCATACATTCATAAACAGTTTATAAGTTTGTAAAATTATATATTTTAAAGGGCCCCTATGATGAAAATCATCTTTTGTAAGCTGTTTGGACACGACTGTGTGCAGGTATAGTGTGTTCACAGTCAAATTGGGGTGATATAAAGATAATAAGTCTCTTTATTTAAATTTTCTGACGTTAAAAAAGGATCCAAATCCCTCCAATTTTGAGGCCCATAGCAATGTGACAAAGGAGTGCGGTTTCCCCGTCCACCGAATTGATTGACAGCAACGTATTAACATGTCTCTGTAGTAACAAGTATAATCATATCAACAAGACGGGATGTGCCCAAATCAACTGGGATGAAAAAAGATCTGTTCAGCTCTCTGTGATCATCAATCATCATTAGATGTGATCAAGAATGAGTTTTACAAGTTTGAAACGTTTTTAAAACAGTGCATGTTTGTAATGAATTACAGCGACTTTACTGTCTTTATCACCACAGCCGCATGTCAGAACAATTATGAGAGAAGACGCTTCAGTCCTGGTTTGTGGACGTTAAATCAGGTTTATTTAGTACATTAACATAACAGATATCCATACAGCAGTGAATATTAATGTGTATCCTATCACATTTGGCGTGCAAAAACAGTGCAAAGTTAAACAATCACGCTGTGTGTGCATGTGTGCATGCGTACATGAACTTTGTAATGCCATTGTGTGTGACTCGTTGCAGAAAGGCTTCACAACAAATACATCAAATAATCATTGGGAAAGTTCTTACTGTAGTATTTCTCATAAACATTACATGAGATCTCCTTTCATCATGTCTATCACTGTGCTGTTTATCTGACGCAGACAAGGCGGAGATTGAGGCACACGTGGGAATGGTGGGTAGGGAGAACTAGCATTAAAGGCACAGGCAACAAAACATTGAGAGCAGAAATTGCAAAGGTATTCTGAAAGGTATAATAAATAATCTGATGGGTGTTTTGAGATGAAACTTTACAGACACATTCTGGAGACACAAAAGACTTCATTTTTTGACAAAGAAGGAAAACAGATGCCCTTTAAAGGTGCTGTAGAACGCATTGATTCAATAAGTTAAACTGTTCTCTGATATCTAAATACTACCTTAGGTAGGTGGCTTAGGTTAGTGCAAAAATGATTTAGAAACAAAAAATTCCCCTACATTGAAAACCTTGGTTTTGTCCATATATTTGGAATTGTTGTATTTATGAATGAGCTCTTCACTGACACTATGCAGTTCGTGTCAGTACTTAAGGCCCTTTCTTTCACACACACACAGAATCATTACTATGTGCTCTAAAGTACAAACATGCAAAATAGTCATACTTGAGTTTGACTATTAAAATATTTAAAAATATATTTTTACAAATTGAGTAGATTGCTTGTCAAATGACTTAACAAGTGTCCACTGAAGTGGTAGATTTATTTAAGTTAGAGACAGTGATTGAATTAAATTAAATTAAATTTAAGTTTTAGTTGTGTTGTAGATAAAATACAGTGCTCAGCATAGTTGAGTACAGCCCATTTTGAAAATTAATATTTTGATCCCTTTCTCAGTGAATATAGGCAGAGTATTTTTGTGCATTTTAACAAATCAGATTTATTAAACAGATAAATTTATTTAAACATTATTTTAATCAATTCAAGAAAAATATTGCAAATAAAAATTACAACCTACAAAATTTCAACTGATATATATATATATATTTTTTTGCTTCGTTTGTTTTTCCTCTTTTTTTAAATGTGTATTTAATATTTTCTATAACAAATAAATGTTGGTGTTCTAGTTTTTGGACCATTTAATATAAGTTATTTTGTTAGATAAGGTCCAGACTTGGCTTCAGTACTGACTAATCTAATGGATAAGCAGAAATATAATATTGTGTAGCTTCAAAAGAGAGATTTGTGAGGGGTGTACTTATATATGTTGAGCACTGTATAGGGTAAATTATAATTACACTTCACAAAAGGGAGCAACAGAGATATATTTAGAGTTGTAATTTGTGATTTTAATGTATATGAAAACATAGGCTTTAATATCACCTTCTGTATTAACAGAAGTTTTGAGAAATGCAGATAAGACTAATGGCATCCTTTAACTCCAGAATCACAGTAAGAGCTGTGTGATATGACACAATGCATAAACATGCATTAAAGTCTTATATTCAGCTGTCTACATGCCTCATTGCAAACATATGCGGCAAATTTCACATTACACATTTAAATAATGAAAGATACAGTTAAACAGACCTTATGCCTCTTCAGGAGGAACCAAATACATTTATAATTCATCTTTTACAAATTTTGCATTCTGACGTTCAGCTGTGATGACATGAGATGCCCCACACCTGGTTACATTACCTGGGAGCTCTATAAAGCCAGTCACATTTTCAAAATAATAGTCTCATATACATAGTAAGTATAATACTAGCTTAGATAAAAGGAGGCAAAGGATCCTTGTTGAAATTGTGTGGCCAATCAAACACTGTCCGAGACATGGAAAATAATGCTCCCATGTATAATATATAGTAAGGTTATATCACACAAGCAATAATTACATTTTCCTGAATTTTTATTGAAGTGAAAGTGACACTAGCCATTTTCTCTCACAGGGTGGAGAATATGTCGATGCGCCTGGAGGAAGTAAATGAGCGGGAGCACACCATGAAAGCCTCTCTGCAGACAGTGGACCTGCGCTTGGCTCAGCTCGAGGAGTTCTCCGGCCGCATGATGCATGCGCTGGAGCGACTAGCTGGCATCGACCGCTGTGATCTGGTACGCACTCGATCCGGGAGTTCAATGGCCGTCGACCAGTCAGGTTTGCTTCGTCGGGGAAGTGTCACCAGTGCTGATGGGTACAGTTTGTACCGCTGGCACCTGGATGCCGAAGAACGTGGTGATGAGGTCAGGGGGCAGGGAACAGAGAGGCGAAGCAGTATTGGCATCACTGACCTAAACCCACAACATGCCTCCTCCTACGGTCCCACATTGGACGTCTTGCCACTTCGGCAAAGGACACATTCCAGCTCTAGTGTGGACATCTTAATCTCTCCCTGTGAGTCCTTCCCGCCACAAGATGGAGGCCAGAACCCTCAATCCCCAACACGCTCCTCTTGTCAGCCCACAAAAGATGCACGCGCTCTGCTAGAATCTAGAATAGACACAGCAGTTTCACATCCTCTTGAAAGGGCGCAGTCCTTGAGGCAGTACCCGAATGAAGCTCAAAATAACTCGCTTTCGCATGAGAATAGATCCCAAAGCGGTACCTTGTATGTATCAATGGCGCAATCCAAATTAAGCAGTCCTGGGAACACTTGGGCTTCAGAGCCTTATGGCCTACAGGATCAAGCAAACAGATCCCCAACATTGGGTCGCTGGCCTCCACGCTTTGATTACAAAGTTCATCCCTCCCCGTTCGGCCTTTCACCTAAGACATCTTCAGAGAAATTGAGACAGGTGGACGACCAAGATAAAGAAGATACTTCTAAAGAGAGCAAGAGGACAAACAGCCATCAAGCGGGAAGTGAAGAGAAGAACAAAGACGAGGATGAGATACAGGCGAATAACGAAAGCACCAAAACAGAGGAAGTAGACGATAAGAGAGAGAAGCTGACAGACTCGGATCGCTTGTATGTATCAGAGGACAGGATGTACCCCGCACTCAGATCCAAGAGTCTGAACGCTAACCCACGAAAGGTGAAGGCTGCAGGGGACGTCCTGGATAAACCTCGAGCTGCCAGTAGTGTGAGAGACCTGGCAGAGGCCTTTGAAGTTAACACCAATGACTACAGACCCTCCAGAGAAAGGAGTGGCACACAGACATGATTCTTGTCTAAAAACAGGTCACACTGTGCGATTTTGACCACAATTTGTTCATCTAAGACAAATTTGAAAATCCTAAAAGATTCTTAGACTCCCAGGCCAAATTCTTGCAGTGTCAGAAAGTTTCAGACACTTTCCTGCAGTGTGACAATCCTTACGACAAGCATCAAACCAAGAACCAACGTACATGCTGAACCTAATGATGCAGTCAGCATGACAACTTCAAAACACCCCAGGGAAATGGCGAAACTGTTTTTTTGGTTTTATTGTAGGCTCGTTATAAGTAAGACTGATGTTTATGTTTGCTGTGATGTATCATTTCACAACACAAGTAACTAAATGTGTCATGAATTGATGACATTCAAGCTTTTGAATTTGGGTAGGCAGAATCCAGGCAGAAAACCCAAAATAGCACTTGACTTTAAGACAGGGATGTCCAGACTCTGTCCTGGAGAGCCGGTGTCCTGCAAAGTTTAGTTCCAACCCCAATCAAACACACCTGGGCTTGCTAATGAAGCTCTTACTAGGCATTCTAGAAATATCCTTGCAGGTGTGTTGAGGCCAGTTAGAGCTAAAATCTGCATGACATTGGCCCTCCAGGACCGAGTTTGGACACCCCTGCTTTAGGAGGTTAAAGAAGTTGCTAAATGTATTAAAACAGGTGCTTGTTTGTCGTAAAAATTCTAATTTGTGCATCTCCTAATTTCTGTTGTAGATGGTGTATTCTGAGAAATTTTCGTACCCCTTGGTTTTGAGTGTGGTCCTGAAAAGTCTTCTTTTCTAGGGGTGTCTAGCCCTTTCCCTTAGCTTTACACCTTTCAAGCTAAAGAGAATTGGGACACCCCTACCCCTTTCACATGAAGATGCAAAACAAGAGGTAGGGTAAGGGGAAAGGCTAAGGGGTACAATTGGGATTGGGCCTAAGTGTGATTGAAAACAATGGATATATATTGAGGTGTTCACATAATGAGCAATAAATTACAGCACGCTAAAGCAAGGATTTCTTGTAACAGTTTATAATGTTTTTTCTCTTAAAGGATTAGAACACACAAAAAAATTAAAATTCTGTTATTAATTACTTACCTTCATGCTGTTCCAATTCTCTGAGAGACAAAATAAGTCATTTTTGATTAAATTCAAGAGCTCTCTTATCCTCCATAGACAGCCACGGTCCTGACTCATTCAAACTCCAGAAAAGGAACCAAAAACAAAACATTCCATGTGACTTTAGTGGTTCAACTGTAATCGTACAAAGCTCAACAAACACTTTTGTGCACTAAAGTAAATGCAAATACACCTCACCCATGTTCTTTCTAGCATCAGCAGCACAAGACACAATCTTTGGACTGTCCTTAATACATAATTCATTCAATCATTTTCTTTTCGGCTTAGTTCCTTTATTAATCGGGGGTCGCCACAGCTGAATGAACCACCAACTTATCCAGCTTATGTTTTACGCAGCGGATGCCCTTTCAGCTGCAACCCATCACTGGGAAACACATACACTACGGAAAATTTAGCTTACCCAATTTAGCTCAACCTCTATGGAGGATGAGGGAGCTCTAAAATATGTGTTCTGTAGATGAACAAATGTATCTGGGTTTTGTAACAAGATGATGGCGGGTAATTAATAACAGAATTTTCATTTTTGGTTCAACTATCCTTATAGGTTGCATTTGTACTTTAGATCTGGTGCTGCAGTTGTACAAAGGGAGAGACTGGTGGCGCTAGAGCACAGAAAGCTAATCTGAAAACCAATTGAACTAGACATTGAACTGAAGTAAAATTTTCGGAAACGTCATTGATGTCAAGTGTTTGTCAACTTTTGTTTGAGAACATATTCACAGCAACATCAAAAACATCAACAAAAATGAATTACGTAGCAAGGATTGCAGAAAAATGGGACTCGTTGGTAAGTTGATATTTTTTTTACTTCATTAGCAAATTTCAGGATTAGATTTGAGCGTCGTTGTGAGCAGGCCGCCTAAAAAAATACATTGTTGTGGTCAGCGCCATCTTACATGCAGGCAAGGCATGAATTTACTCAGAAGTTTCGTGTTCAGTCTGAAAGCACTTTTTGTTTGAGATTCACAACACATCACTGCATCCAATTCAGTCTAAAAGAGCCTTGATGTTCTCTGTTATGCTAATATGATTGTGCACTTACATCTTAGCTAACATACTTCATATATACTTCACTATACTATTATTAGTATATTTGTGATTAGAATTAGTAATGTTAAATATAATCATAAACCCTAATGAAAAGGGGAATAGTTTACTGCATTTAATTTTAGATGACTATTAAAAATGACACAGAAAATGTTACCATATTTCATTGTGCGTTTCCCTCTGATGGGTTGCAGCTGGAAGGGCATCCGCTGCGTAAATCAAATGCTAAGGGACTAAGCCGAAAAGAAAATGAATGAATGAATTTTATTGTGTATATGTGTGTAATTTATATATATACAAAAAAATGCCATTATAAAATAAACTGGACACGTGTAAATAACTTAGAAAAGATATTTTAATCTTTTTTTTATATAATCAGTTAACTCTTGACATATTACCGAACAGACATGAAAAACAAGAAAGACATTATAAAATAAGACATAAAAGCTTGCATTGAATGGTCAGTAAGACTTTATGCTCAGTATGAGAGTGCTGTCACTGTTTCATTGAAAAATATGCAAATGTGCCTGCATGCATATTCAACGAACATGACTTCAAGGCCATTAAAGGGATAGTTCACCCCCCACAAAAAAATCCATTCTATCATCATTTACACTTCCATGTACTCAACCCTGTTTGACTTTCCTCTGCAGAACGCAGAGGATATTTTGAAGAATGCTGATAACCATTGGTACCACTGACTACTACAGAATGGACAAAAAAGAAGAAGAAAAACAGACATGCAGGGTTTGGAACAACGATTTGGTGAGTAAATGATGACAGAATTAAATGTTATGGTGATCAATCCATTTAAGTGGGAACTGCACACCTCTGAGCAGGGATTCGATCAATCAGATGCACAATGCCAATGGAACTCAAGCAATCATATACCCTTCAACAGAATAGCAGAATTAATCATTCAATGAATTTGAGTTACTTAAATTAAGTCTTCTAAAACATTTCGACTGATTCTCAGCATTTCAGTTTAAATTCTACACACACACACACACACACACACACACACACACACACACACACACACACACACACACACACACACACACACACATAAAATTAAGTCATTAGCAGGCCCACATGGAATCTGTAGATATACAACAATCAGCAGATTTACACAAAACTGGAATATCTGCCATGCAAAAAGCTGGCATTAAAAAAAAGAGAGAGAGAGAGAAAGAGAGAGAAAAAAAAGAGTCTAGTACTCCCAGCTTTGGTTGATAAATCTGACATAATCAAAATCCATTCAACAGAATTGCAAGTTATTTTTTCCTCCTACCAAAATCATTCCATATGGGCCTAGCAATAGCCTAATAAACTCATTCAAGCTAGAACAATCTTCCACTTTTTCGAGTGGCTGATTTCACAAGTGGTTCATGAAGTGGTTTACACACATAACATCAGTGCATAACAAAAACAAAAGATGCTGCAGTGGTACTGTAAACACTATACGACTTCACACTCATAGGAGTCTTATAAAAGAGGGTATTACAAAAAGACATTGTACAGTATACTGTGACGACGTTTAAATGAGTTAAAAAAATAAGTATTAACAAATGAATCCATCTCACAGGTTAACATGCTTTAGGTGCTTATGCAGGGGTAAGTAAAAGATGTCGGTAGAGTATAAAAATATAATACCATTAGTAAATGTAATACTGTATATACTAATATACATGGCCTAGCCGGCTGCTGCTTCAACAAGCTTGATTCTTTTCTTTTTCTTCTCGTGCTCACTATAAGAGATTACAACCAAAAGTCAAAGATAAGGATTTTTTTTTTTTTACTGTTAATACCAATAACAGCTTTGGTCTATATTAAAATGTAAGGGGGAAGACTATAACCTGTGAAGTTTTGATTTCCACAATTTATTGCAGCTTTGGGTCAGTAACTATAAATGAAATTAAAGGGATAGTTCACCCAAAACTGAAGGTTCTGTGCTCATTTACTTGTTTGAGTTTCTTCCTTATGTAAAAACACAAAAGAAGACAAACCTGTAACCATTCACTTCCATTGTATTTGTTTCTCCTGCTGTGTACATCAATGTTATCAGCTTTACATTATCTTCTTTTGTGCTCACAGGATATTCATACACAGTACTCATAAAGGTTTGCAACTACTTTAGAGTGAGTAAATGGTGTGTAATTCTTCAATTTTTGGTGAACTATCCCTTTAAGTAGATAAAGGAGTGACTTTAAATATAACAAAACAAATATGTTTAACAATGACACAAACTATATATTTATATTGCATGTCCTTCAGTTTGACCAACGCTTAACTGTCAAACCAATAGGCTCGTCAGTCGCTACTTTAGGTCTTTATTGCCAAAACCTGCATTAGAGCAGGAGTTCGATTTCTTTAATCTCTTCACGCATTTTTCTTCATTAAATTCTAGTTGAATAAAGCACTTTGAAATCAATGGAACTATAAACCGACTATATGTAATCAACTAAAAGTAATTAAAATCGGGCTACACTAAACTGGAGGTTATGAATATTTTGGTTTAAAGGGAATGTTTTGGGAACAGCTCAACAGTCCTTTATCTCACAGTCTTCAAGCCTTCAGTATGTATGGATGAGGCAGGCTGAAGTCCAGAGCTCTCAGCAGCAGCTAACAGCTGAAAGTCCAGTGGAACTGTAAACTCTCACACAAACACACACACGCATAGAGAAATGAAATCATTCACACTAAGGCTGCAGGAGTTGCTGGGTTAGAGCAGAATGCAGCGGAAGAAGCTTGGCTTCTTGGATCGACTCTCTGTGATTTTTACTGCTCCTCCTCCTCCTCCCCCTGAAGGGTTATTCTCATTCTAAACACAAATATATGGGGGACATATTCAATATTATATACAAATTATATTTCTGTATTCAGGCAGTACAAAGCTCATCAATGTTATTAGATAAGGTTATGAACATCTCCACCATCAACATCCTCACCATTTTCCTGTTTAATCTCGTCATGATGTCTCTAGCAAGAGTGACAAATGCCTAGCAATAAAGAAAACATTACACTTGAACACTTGAAACATGCAAATCTAAGCAAAAACTCAATTTAGTGGTTCAACCCACCTCTTCAACATTTGTGCTAGATTTTGCACTGGTTTCCAAGAACTTGATTCCGTAATCAATAGCTAGCTGTAGCAAAACAAGAGGAAAAAAAGGAACTGTTTACTTAAAAACATCAGCATTTTCACATACCACATATGTTCTTGCTTTTCTGAATATGTCATTTTCATTCATTCATTTTCTTTCGGCTTAGTTATATATTTATCAGGGTTCGCTACAGAGGGATGAACCGCCTATTATTCCAGCATATGTTTTATGCAGCAGATGCTCTTCCAGCCACAACCCAGAACTGGGAAACAGCCATACACTCTCACATTCACTACGGCTAATTTAGTTTATTCAATTCACCTATAGCGTCTTTGAACTGTGGGAGCCTGGAGGAAACCCACACAAACACAGGGAGAACATGCGAACTTCACACAGAAATGCTACCTTGCCCAGCCAGGACTCGAATTACTGATCTTCTTGCTGTGAGGTGACAGTGCTGACCACTGAGCCAACACACATCATTTTAATCATTATTATTTTTATATTAAGCATACCTTCTCTCCTCTTTCTTTTGAAACTTGTCTCTTGTCGTTCATGTCACACTTGTTACCCAATATCATTCGCTCCACATCTGACGATGCATGCTGATAAAACAGAAGAGAAGTCAACTCATCTGACTCGCTGAATGAAGTGAAAACTTGCTTATCTACATCAGCATTATGTCTGTTTCTCACCTCCTCAATGTTCCTGATCCAGTTCTTGATGTTGTCAAATGATTTCTCATTTGTGATATCATACACCAGCATAATTCCCTGTAAAATGACGAGAAAAAAAAAACATATGGCTTCAGTAGAACTAAAACAATACATACAAAACATACATAACAAGGGCTGCACGATATACATATTTATATATATTTAAACACCATTTTAAGGACAAAATTATTAGCCCCTATAAGCTATATATTTTTTCGATACCTGCCTCACGTTAAGCTTGAAAAATATCTAGTCAAATATTTTGTACTGTCATTGTAGCAAAGATAAAATAAATCAGTTTTTAGAAATGAGTTATTAAAACTATTATGTTTACATTTACATTTTTCAGACGCTTTTATCCAAAGCGACTAACAAATGAGGACAAGGAAGCAATTTACACAGCTATAAGAGCAACAATGAATAAGTGCTGTAGGCAAGTTTCAGGTGTGTAAAGTCTAAGAAGGAAAGCGTTAGTAATGCAAGTTATTTTTTTGTTGTTTTTTTTACAGTACAGTTAGGGGTATAGCCAGAGAGGCAATTGCAGATTAGGAAGTGAAGTATAGACTAAATAGTTAAGAAATGTGTTGAAAAAAATCTCTGTTAAACAGAAATTGAAGGGGGGGTGGAATCAACAGAGGGGCTAATAACTCTGACTATAACTGTGTGTGTGTGTGATTGTGAGAGTATATATATATATATATATATATATATATATACATATACATATATATATATACATATACATATATATATATATATATATATACATACACACACACACACACAATTAAATTCATAATTATTAGCCCCACTGTTTATTTTTCCCCCAGGTAAAAATGTTTTGTCTTCAAGTGAGAAGAAATGAATCAAAATGAAGAATTTTTCCCTAAAACAAGCAAAATCATAAGGGTAAGTCAAATAATCTTGTTTTTGTTTTGAAATGCAGATATTTTGGACAAGAAACAACACAAAACTTCTAAGTAAGATACCTTTATTGGTTTTACATAAATCATATAAATTCCATCTAAATTCTGTAATTAAATACAATTCTGAAGCTCCTGGTCAACTTTCAGACTCAACGTTGCGTGTCTTGCAATGTGACTAATGCAGATGCACACATTGTGATATCGATGCTGAATTTATTTATTGTGCAGCCCTATGCAGTACCATATCTAAAGAAAATAATGCAACATGTCTCACCATTGCTCCTCTGTAATATGCAGTGGTGATGGTTCTGAACCTCTCCTGTCCCGCCGTATCCCTTCACAGCAAATTAAGAACACTTTAAAAATGTTTTATGTATACAGTGCTCAGCATATACAAATACACCCCTCACAAATCTCTCTTTTAAATTCATATTTGTAATAGGAAGCTATACAATATTATCTTTGTGCATATACATTAGTTAGTACTGAAGCCATATCTGGAGCTTATCTAATAAAATAACTTATGACAACGGTCCAAAAACTAGAACACCAAAATTTATATTACAGAAACATATAAAATACAAATTTATTAAAGAGGAAAAATCAAGAGAAGCAAAAAAATTGAAACATTTAGTTCAAATTTTGTAGGTTGTAATTTTTTAAACAATTTTATTGCTTGAATTTAATTGTATTATCTTTTAATTTCTAAATATGTTTTGTTACTAAAATATCATTTTGATAAAAATAACTGTTTAATTAATCTGTTACATTTAAAAGCACCAAAATACATTGCCTATATTCACTCAGAAATAAATACAAATATTCATTTTCAAAATGAGGTGTACTCAATTATGTAGAGCACTGTACGTTGATACTTTGTTCTTTGCCCAAAGTACAGTTTAATAACCTACCCAAACTAATTACCTGATTGACACCTGTGGTCTGAAAGTAAATAGTATAGAATATCCAACAATATTACATCTTAATTATTATTTTTTTTATCACTTACATTGTCTGCATTTAATCTTAAAAGTAACATTATGAAATCATAAATATAGATGCTTAAATGTTGTGTTTTCCCATATTTTCATCTCCTTTTGTAATGTGCCAAGACGAGCAAACTTTCCACAGGTTTGGGGATTTCTGCTTGACACTGACTTTATATGGCAAACTCTTACCAGATTTGAAGCTTGATCTTTTTCCCATCCAGCTCAATTGTTCTGATTTTGAAGTCAATTCCTGTAATAACATGTAGAAAAAAGCAATGTTAAACACTGTAATTGTAGTATTTCTGCAATGCAAATAAATCCTATGGTGACACGTTATAAAAATGGACTAATCTCACGACTTATCACAACTCTTTCCGCTGAAAAGGGAATCACCGCATTAGCACGTTTTCACAGCACCACAACCATGGGTATGGAATGTGTAGAAAGGTCAGAATGAAGTGACATACAGTACGCCTGACCTAATAAATGGCTGCAGTGTTGCAATAGGCTTCACGCGTGTATGAAGCTTTTGCATTAGCATAATAACGTGATTCCGGTTTATGACATCTATAAAAAAAACGTCTGTATTAAGGCATACACTCCTGCCAGCAGCGAAAGCTAGGACAGGACATGGGACGGGAAGTGACACAGCAGCGTTGTCCATGGCAATAGGGGAAGTCTGTGGCATAACAATGACAAAAGGTCAAGGAACTCTCGCATGGGCTTACCACAGGAAATGACATACTGGACAACGTTAAAGACTGGTCTACCTAAAGTTGTCAAAAATATCAAGACCAGCTGTAGTTTGAAGTATAAGTGACCCAGTTTATGTATGTTACAACAGAGACAACAATTGGACTTTGTGGATGTCATATAATGTAATAAGTGCTTTAGTACTGCTGACTAAAGAAACAATGAGGAACAATACTGAATAGGGATAGGACGATAACCGTTTTCAAGGTATACCACGATTTAGAAAAGTCAAGGTTTTAAAGGGTCATGAAACCCCCCTCTTTCGGTTCAAGTCTACCTTAGAATTTTTTCAAAAAATGCTTCATGATGGACGTGGAGCACTGTGAACAGAGCCAGGGATGGGTGTGGCCGGCAGAGAAGGGGAAAAAGAGGGGAGTGAACAACTATTGTCAGGTGGCTCACAAAATGAGAAACAAACCGTGGCGAGATTTTGTAGTTAACAAAGTTGGAATGCAAAGAAATAAGCAGGAATTTAATGCCCTGCTATACATGTTATTCGTAATTTCATATTCACATAACCACAATTTGTTGTATCGTTATAAAGATAATCATGTAAACACTATTATTAAGGAGGACTTCTCTCCTCCTCAATCCCTGGGTCGGAATGCAAACACAGCAGAAAGCAGTGCAGCAGGTCTTTTTCCTTGTCTATACCATTTGCCCTGCCAGTATTCCGGAGGATTTTAAATACAGACGAACACAGCAGCACAGATATAGGCGATGTGTCTGAATGGTAACAAACTGAACTGATAAAAGACAAAGTCCGCCATTCTCCAATTCTCGTACAGCTCTCTCTAAAGAAATGCTCGCTGCAAACCAACAACTTTTCTGTATCGGCCCTGACAGCATCGCGAGGAAACACATGCAACAAACCCTGTGTATCATGGAAACAAGCACATACGGCCTAAATACTGCGTGCCATGCGTGGACGGGGTCTCACAGCTTGGCAGGTCTGCCTTGCTTTCAGAAAGCACATGCTCTCATTAATAATTAAGAAGCAGGGTCTTCTCATAGGATAAGAAAACTCAGCTATGAACACTAATAATAACAAACCGACGTATCATCACTTTACTAGCAGATTTGAGCTACGTAATCGATTTTAATACCGCTCCAAAAATGATTTTAAACCCAGAAGATGAACTTAGCTGACCAAAGCTCAAAATTATCCCGGTTTCTCCACAATTAAAGCTGACAGGTGCTAACATTGTCTTACCAATGATGCTCAACACACACAAATTTGTGTGTATATCAAAAAAAGTACTCGGGTGTCTTGAACCTTTAAAACTGCAAAAATGTTCTGTAATACCATTCCTACAGCACATGTAAGATTTTCTTTTTACGTGTTTTTTTGTTCTTGTTTGTATTTAGGACAATAGTATCTCCAACAGTAAAAGATATCCAAAGATGCTGCTTTAACATGTAAAGATCTTATTTTAACATGTATTTTAAATGTTTCGAAGAGGAAAAAAGTTTTAGTTTTTCCCCAGACATTTAAAAAGAATACATTTTAGAGCAGTAAACAAAATACCGTGAAACCATGATATTTTATCCAAGGTTATCATAATGTCAGAATCATATACTGGCCCATGCCTAACACCGAATGCTAAAGAACAAATTGAATTGGAAGTAGCTTAACATATTTTCTTCTACTGTGACACATCTGAGTGAAACAGATCATCATCACAAAAAGGTTTTTCCCATTGATTGTTTGTATTTTGAAATGTGGGTGTTGCACTCAAAATTGCAAACAGATGAACACAAGTTGTGAAGTTTAAGGGTGTGTTCACACTTGACAGATTTGGTTTAATCAAACTATGGAGCAACTGTTCTGTTAGTGTGGTTCATCTGAATGAAACCTTGCCATATAAAGCTTGGTGAGCAACAAGCAACTGGACAAAGAGTGTTGAAAAGAAGGGTCTAGCTCGTCTTCTAAACAAGCTTTGGTTTGACTGAAATATGAATATAACATGGACCAAAGGATTATGTCACATGATGTGACCATATAAAGGACAGACAGCTATACTTGGTTTTTGTCATTACTCAACAGATTAATGTTGGAAAAACATCTTCTGCCACTAGCTCTTTCTTTGTGTCTCTAATTTCTAGACATGTTTTGACTTTAAGAAGCTTTTCACTAATTCTCAAGTGATAAAAGTACATATACAGTACAGTACAACACAACGATCACATTTGTTTTTAATGTTTTGTAAATTCTGTCATAAAATATAAGTCATAGAGCCTTTTGCTTTTCTGTAAGTTTAGTTTGTCCAAAGAAATGACTGAACTCTAAGTAAACGAGGATTAAATGTGTACTTTTTAATGAATCACAAAAACCAAGTGTGTGAACTCACTCTAAGAGGACTGGAGAAGTCCTGTAAAATCACCAGAGAGAAGTGTGTCATTTTCACAGGAAGGTGACATTTGGGTTCAACCCTACGATCACAATACACTTAAAGAATAAACAAGCTGATGAATAGTTCGTAATGCGGTCTATAACATGAATTAAGAAAATGTTCAATGTCGTAAATTCACTTGAAGTCCCGTTTAGTGGTGAAATGTGAATCTAAACAACTCTTTAGCCGCAAAATTGAAAGTGCAGTCCAGCCCACTGTGCTAGCGCACAGCTAATCAGGCTGAGATCATGCTAGCTCTACAAATGCAGCGTACTGTGTAACGTCTAATTCATCTTACACGTAATAGCAGTCTACAACAACTGATCCTGACGTTTACATACGGAAAATGTGTCGTTTGTCTTTATAAAAACACGTCGATGAACAGTTTAGTGAACGAGCTGTCACATCCACGGCCTCTTCCTGTCACTCCAACAGACAGTCACATGCACGTAAACCTCCATGCATCTTTATAACAGCTCATGCAGTACTACCCAGTTAACATCAATGTAATGTTTGTACACAAATCAAGCAGCTCTAGTGTGAAACTGACCTATGGTGGAGATGAAAGTGGTGTTGAAGGCGTCCTCGCTGAATCGAAACAGCAGACAGGTCTTGCCCACACCGCTGTCTCCGATGAGCAGCAGTTTGAACAGATAGTCGTACGTTTTCGCCATATTTTCTTGTTTCTCCCTCGTCTGGCTACCTTCTTTCGGCTCGGTAGCAGAGTAACGGTGTTTGACTAACGGTACATAAGAGATGCGGTTCAACTTGTGTTTCCGACTTTACTGCACGCAGCGCAGCAGTGAGGAAGAGACTGGGCGGGTCTGCCGTGACGTCATCACGAAAGCATAAACGTCAAGAGCGTCAGGCGGTACTGAAAGCCCTTTTCCTTTTCCGTCCCATTAGAGCAGCTGCAGGGGTGCCCAAACGATTTTTCTCATGAAGGGTCAAAAACCAAACCTGATTGACGGCTGTGGGCTGAAGGTTAGTATAACAACTATTATACACCAAAGTTTCCAAGAGTAAGTTTCTCATTCATTTGCTAATTTTATAACTAATGCAGTATCTATAAACAAGTGTAATGAACTTATTACAGTAAAACTTAAATAATGCTATTAATGAAATAATGGACTTCAACGCTGAATGCACTAAGCTGCCTTAGCCTTGATTTGCTTGCTGATGTCTTGTGCATTTGCCCTCTGTTCAGTTGCGTGACAATATTTACATTTTCAGAAAATCTGATTCATTTACAAAACAAACAAACAAAAGGTTGTATTAAATTTAAAACGACCATCTTTGTCAAAAATATTCTCTTCAGCCACCTCCCCATCATTCTCTTTCTTTAATCAAATTTATAACACAGTGCAGTTCAATACTGAATACACTAGTCAAGCAGAATCTGCCTTTAACTTGATTTGTTCACCAAAGGCTCTGCATTGTCAGCTGACACTATATAGATTTTAACAAAATCTGCTTAATTCACACAATTTATTTTAAGTGTTTAATTTCAGTTTGCTTTAAACAAACAAACAAATCTTAAAACAAACAAAGGCTTACATTAAATTTTAATTGACAATCTCTAAACCATCCCCCTCATTCTCCCTCTCTTCTCAGAGAGACTTATGGGCCAAATCAAATGTTACCATGGGGCAACTTTGGCTCGCAGGCTCTAGTTTGGCCATCTCTGCTGTGAAGAGGGAAAAAATCTTTCGCAAATTATTTGACGGTTTCATAAATAAAATAAAAAATAATGAGGGAAAAATAATGTGAAATTATGATATACTAAGTCATAAGGAATAAAATAAATTATGAATCAGTTCTGAGATGATACTTAAGTAAAAATTCTGGACAATAAATCATAAATGACACACAAAGTAATTATGAAAGTGTGATGTTGTGGTAATCTCCCTCATAGTTTTGACTATTATATAATTCGCTATTCTATGTTTTTCATTGTAATAATTTGGCTATTGTTATGTAATAATTATGATGTAGTGTCTAATAAAAGATGATTATTAGACATACACAAATGTAATAACTGATGGAGCTGAAAATTGATGCCTTAATGTTTGGCAACAGCTGTAGACATTTCTGTTTTCATGACTTTGTCATGGAAGTTCCCTCTGCTCTTATAGCCTCACTTAAATTGATTTTTCCAGGAGGGAGGAGTGCTCAGCATCAGTACAGCACACAACCTGTTACTTTCACTTACATCTGTGGAAATACCTAACTTTTTGAATGATTCATGGTGTTGTCACAATGTTCACAGCCATTAGGTTTCTGAATACTTTAGACACAACTGTTCCTTACAAATTTCCCTTATTTGCTAATATGCCTCTGTTGCTATTGTAATGTCATAATTGATTAATATGTCATTTATTTATTTATTAAATGTTTTATTTCATTAGCAAATATGACACTAAATTCTAGAACACAAGTATTGTTTGTAAACCATCGTGTTTTTAATTTATTATTGTTCTAAGTAATCTGAAAAAGTCATTCTTAATAAAATAAATGAGGGGTGCCCAAACTTTAAAGTATGAAGGGCCAAAAACCAAATATTATCGCGAGCTGTGGGCCGAAGGTAAATATAGGCTATACCATGTAATTTCTTAATTTATTTCCTAATATTTAAAAAAAATATTTTAAATCATATTAACTAATACAGTATAACTTTTTTTAAGTGACAACTTTTTACAATAAAACCAAACAATCAAATTTATAACACAGTGCAGTTCAATACTGAATACACTAGTCAAACAGAATATGCCTTTAACTTGATTTGTTCACCTAAGTCTCTGCATTGTCAGCTGACAGTATATAGATTTAAACTAAATCTTATTAATTTACACCATTTAATTAAATCATTTAATTCTGTTTGCTTTAAACAAACAAACAAAGCTTAAAACAAACAAAGGCTTACATTAAATTTTAATTGACAATCTCTAAACCATCCCCTTCATTCTCCCTCTCTTCTCAGATAGGACGGTGGGCCTAATCAAAGGTTACCATGGGCCAACTTTGGCCGCGGGCCCTATTTGGACATCTCTGGCAGGCCAGGATTGGCTAATCGGGAGGACCGGGAGAATTCCCGGTGGGCCGGTCCGTTTTTTGGCCGCGAGGGCCGGTGTCCCTAGTTCCAGAATCGGTTGCTCTCAGCAGTCACACTTTTTAAAAATAATTTAATTATTTACTTGACCACAGCCTTCTTATTAATTATTTTACCGCAGCTCTGCTCTTTTTATCTATTTTCTCGTAGCCTCGTGAGCAGGATGCAGGTTAATGATGATATAACTAGATAAGTCACCTTTAAACATACAGCAGTTGTGGTACAGTGGTTAGTACGTTAGATTATGAGGCCGCCAATCCGGGTTCGGTCCTTGTCTGAGTAACAATTTTTTTTTTCATTTTTATTGTTAAGACATAATACTGTAAGGGTTGTTGAACATTTGAAGTTCTAAAAGTGCTGTTTTCTCAAAAAAAGACGTGATATTGTAATTAGAAACTGAATTGGAAATAACCTTATTTTAATAAAGTCAGTGGTGAACTGAGGTGGGCCGGTCTGAGGCTTGAAACTCCAGGGCTGAAAAAGAGTCCCACTCCGGCCCTGATCTCTGGACTAAATTAACTTTAGTTGTGCCATGTCCCCGCCTGCTGGAGGACACTGGTATCACTCGCCATACTGCTGCTGCAACTTTTCACTTCTCATGGAGCCACAGCTCCTCTGATCCCCAGTGAACGTATTTGCATTTAATCTAATGTTAAGTAATGGACACAGCAGATTAGAACCTTGTGCACTTAAAAAACATTTCAAGATGAACAACATGAAGAATGTAATGAATTTTAAAATGCAATATTGTTTATTTCAACTGTTTAAAAAGCTGACATAGGCTCAGGTTCAGGTACTTTTTATTTGCTTAAATGATTCTCTTTAAACTGTTTATATTTACAAACCCCTTTTTTAAAATGAGTTCATAAATGTTTCATAACAAAATACATGTTCCAGTGTAATGAATCATTTGTGACGGGAAAGGGTTATCAATCACATTTTAACGGAGTGGTTGAGGATTTTAGCTTAGTTTTTTCTCCTTTTTATGACTTGTGTACATGTTTTCTATCTTCAGTGAAGGAAGGAGCAGGCTGGTTGACCAGAAAGGAGGCCGTCCTGGAAATAAATGACATGTATTGCATTGAAGAAATGGAATGGACCTGCTGGACTGTATTTACACAAACCGAAGGTGAAACTGCATTGAGTGGAAAGCAGGAAGTGCAATGATAACAATAGATACAATCAGAGTAGTTATTCAAATACATTTTTAAAATCATAATCAACTCATTGTGCCAATGTCCTTGCATTATATTCATCACGTTGTGATCCCACACTGAAGTTATTTATATAATGTACAGTCCAACATGAATATTAGGAAGTTAAATGCTTTGCAAACAATAATACAATACATTATTTTCTCAGCTTATGGGTTAATGTGGCGCCCTTCAAATATCATAAGGACTGTCACTTCTTGTTCTCCAGACGAAGTTTCCACCACTTATGATTCTGTAAAAAAGAAAACAGTTTCAGCATTTTCATCTATTCATTTTCACTGGGTTTCATAGGGACATTTTCATTAGTCCCTTTATTCATCAGGGGTTGCCAAAGCAGAATGAACCACCAATTTATCCAGCATATGTTTTACACAGTGGATGCCCTTCCAGCAGCAACCCAGTACTGGGAAACACCCACACACTCTCACATTTACACTCATACACTACAGCCAATTTAGTTTATTCAATTCACCTATAGCGCATGTCTTTGGACTGTAGGGGAAACTGGAGCACCCGGAGGAAACCCACGCCAACACAGGGCGAACATGTAAACTCCTTACAGAAATGCCAACTGGCCCAGCTGGGACTCAAACCAGCGACCTTATTGCTGTGAGGCGACTGTGCTTATCACTGAGCCACCCTGTCACTCAGTTTCAGCATGGTTTACTCTCATAATTAATAGATTTGCTTTAATCATATCAGGTCTCACCTTCTTCCCCAACGTGTTCGGTGTTTGGGTCTGAATCTCATCTAGGCTTGCGTACATGTTGCTGACTTTCACTGGGATGTCCTCGTAGGTGTTGCTCTCAGGTACGTGTTCATAGGTATTGTAGTCACGCTCTTCAGGTACGTCTTGATAAAGATTTTCTGCCAAAAGGACGTTGTCATTGGGATTTGCACGGTTGTCATACTCAACCTCAGGTTGATTCTTCAGCCCAGCGTACGCAACAGTTGAGGCCTGATAGAGTGGATTGGGCTGTAGTTCTGTTTCTTCCATATTCGCCATTCGACCAGCTCCAGAATGCATTTTTTTAGGGTCAAGAACAGCGTAAGAACAGGAGGCTGTCATCAATGGAGCTGGAGGAGGTTGTTGAGGCATGGAGGGCGTAGGATTATAGGAGTTAGAAGTTAAAGACTGACCGTTTTCATGATGGGTAGGCCATAACTGAGAGCTGTAGTGCTCAGATGTCCTTGATTCTGTAATGCTGTGTTGTTCATGTGAAGGATTAGTACCAGGAAGACCAGCGCTTAAAGAATTCCGAAGTGGTGCGTTTTTCTTTGGCAGAGATGGGATTTTCATTGCCTAATGATTTTGACACATGAATGAAACTCAATACTGAGTATGTAAAAAAGCATAGATTGTATCCAAGGAAGTAGTTGACATTGTTACCTGAGACAGGCTGTTCCTGTCAATAGAGGTGGAGGTTGTGAGCTTCCGATTGCTTTTAGAAGGCAGGACAGGAGCCATGTTGTGTGGGCAGTTGGTAGCTTGTTCCCATAAACTTGTTAGAGCCTTTACACTCACTCCTGATGTAACTATGGGACTATTTTGAACCACATCATAAAGCTCGTTTCCATCATCCTAGAAAAATAACACAAAAGAACATTAGTAGTGCAAGACATTTCTGGATATGATAGCATTCTGCTGGCGACGCAGTGGTGCAGTAGGTAGTGCTGTCGCCTCACAGCAAGAAAGTCGCTGGTTCGAGCCTCGGCTCAGTTGGCGTTTCTGTGTGGAGTTTGCATGTTCTTCAAAGACATGCGGTACAGGTAAATTGGGTAGGCTAAATTGCCTGTAGTGTATGAGTGTGTGTGATTGAATGTGTGGATGTTTCCAGAGATGGGTTGCGGCTAAAAGGGCATCCGCTGCGTAAAAACGTGCTGGATAAGTTGGCAGTTCATTCCGCTGTGAAGACCTCGGATTAATAAAGGGGCTAAGCCGACAAGAAAATGAATGAATGAATAGTATTCTGCTTGCTTTTATGTATTTGCAAGTACATTTAATAGTATTTTATGTTGTGCTGATCGATATGGAAGTAAAAAATACCTATTGGTAATGTTTTTTGCGAGACAATATAACAATTTCTTACAAAAACTTGTAATAATTAATTACACAAGTTAAATTGTTAATTCAGTTGTGTGAACAAGTGAAATACTGTAGAGGCTAATTGAATATTTGAATAAATAAGCACAAAATAAGTGTAAATGCAATATAAAAACACATAAAATAAAACAAACTGTAGCACGCTTTGAATGAGCCATTTGAATCAGTGAGTCGTTAGTTGTACACTCACTCAGATTGGATTTCAGATCTATCCAATATATAAAATATTTGTTCAGTGTAATTTGTGAACCAAATTAAGAGATTAATTGTCAAGATTCAGCTTTTTCATAAATCAGACCGCCAACCTGATTTCACGAAGTAGGATATGTTTCTGGATAAACATCTATGAAACAACATTCCAATCAGCCAATTAGCATTATGGGATACATTTACAGTTTATGTTAAGTTTAGGCTTATGGTTAGGTTTGTTTACGTCTACATGATTGTTATCCTATCATGATTCCCCTCTAAATTTGAGAGTAATTTAGAGTTATGGTTGGGTTTTAGGGGTAGGGAACAGGTATGGATTACTTTTTCAAACAAAAACGATGTTTCAGGATCAAGATAGATGATAATAAAGGATCGCATCGTACTTGGTAAAATCATGAAGTACCATATCAGACTCTGCTATAATATCTCTAAACCTGCAATGATTTCTCTGTGCATTGATTATTCCAGTGCAGTGGAACAAAAAGTAATAATTTGTTTTGAAATGTACTGAAGTAAAGAGAAACTTTTCTTCCATATAAAAATAATCCAAAAACTCAGCCGTAACATATAAAGAAATACTTTTGTCCACCGCTGCTTTATGTAGAACCGTATACTTTTTCCCCAATGAGTGAATCATCCAGTGAAGGAAAAATACCTAGATAAAGCTTGTCTGATTTGGCTGGTCATGTGATCTCATCATGATTGGCCAATGATCCACCCCAGCTTCGGTAAGTAAAACTCTATTGACATGATGTCAACATGATTTTATGAATATATTTTTCAAACTACTGTTTTTTCTTTCTTTTTTTTTAAAAGTGAAAGAATAGACTCTACCTCTTCCACGGTGTCCATCTCAGTGCTGTATGAAGTCAGGTACTCTCCAAAAGGCTGGATCGGTGTGATTTTAAAGTGGTCAATCAGCTCTGCGAGACTGTTATGAGTGGTAGAATCACCAGAAACGACAAACAGGCCAGTTTTCGTTTGATTTATGACAAAATGCCGACAACGATCCTGACCTCTGTCAACATTAAACATTGAAGAACTGTTTTAGAACCATTATCTACATTTTTGACACAATAAAGAATATAAAATGATTATATTATGTATCACATTACAATTTACAATACACATTCAAAGTCCCATTTGATAATATCTCTTTAGTTATAGTGAACCATTAAGAAACAATGCTTGTACAGAAAACTAAATAGCTCAGTAACATCAAATTGTCAACATTAAGTCTTCTTTTTTTTAATAAAATTTTTTTCTGGTCTCTAACCAGACAACCAATAGTTGTATTATGTGAACTAACATTTAAAGACAATTATTAAATGCTGTGCAACATGATATTGCTGACTGTTTGTTCTCATTCTTACTTGTATGAAAGAATATATCCAATGGCTTTCTCGCTGAGTCTGATAAGGAAGCATCCAACATCCCTGTCTCTGAGCTGATCTTCTGCTTCCCTGCAAACAGCGATAGTTACTGTACTACAGTGCCCCCCTCTAAGAAATAAAGCTATAACTGAGGGGCTACCCTTTTTTAAAGGCACATTTTTATACTTTTTAGTTGCTAAATCATCTTTATAACACTTTTAGGTTTTAATATATCACTTTAAAGCATTAATATGAATCCTAACATGTATCCATTAAATACAGAAGTGTACCCTTTGAACGGGTCAAGTCCTAGTGATGGCTTAACTGCCTCCATTTTCAAACAGACATTTGCATTATAAGTCACCTGCAGCCTATAGCCGTTCATAATGTTTTACAGCTCACAATGTAACAGTTATGGTTAGCAAACCTCTCGTCTCTTATTAGTTCTTACTGTCTGGAGATGAAACCTTGGAACCAGCGTGGAAAGTTTCCATCAGACAGGATGAACATAGCCTGAGTCTCCACAAACCACTGGAGGATCTGCTCTTTCTGACCTCCCTCCATGGTGAATCCTTCCATTTTCTCCTCGTTTAGTCTGTCCGACTTCTTCATCTTCTGGTACATGGCTGCCTCTATTTGCTCCATTGTGAGCATCTCCTTCTCTACACAAATCCGATACACCTGGCTTTCCGTTTTCAAAGCTACATAACATCACACATTCACTGCGTCAGGAAGACTGGCACACTTCATTTGCCTAGCTTCCTCATACGTAAATATGTGCTCCTACATATATAAAAGGTTCTATTGTTTAAGTTTATCTGCCCATAGTCGGTAATGGCTTACTGGTTTAGTGTGATTTTGTTGTACTATCTCTTGGACGAATCTTCCACTTGAGGTGCCGTCCTGTATGAATATCAAAGATGAAAAATCTAGATTGGATTAGGAAGTAGGTCAACCACCGCACATTGTCCTGAAACATACCGCGCTAAAATAGCTTGTGAATATCTGGGAAAACACCGGAGAAGTTCATCATAGAAATTAATTTTTAGGAATCCTTGTTTTAATATATTTTGTTTTTGTCCCAAAATGTAAAGGGCAGTAGTGTATGTACCTTAGGGGTATCTTCATGGGGACATTTTGGTCCCCATGAATAAAAGGGCTCATAAATTACACATACTGTAATTAAATATTTTGAACATGTAAAATGCTGATCATTTCCTGTGAAGGTTGGATGACATTGATAGAAGTTGGTAGTGTAAAATTACTTTCATGGGAAATTCCCATAAAGGTAACTGTGTATGTGTGTGTGCCAAAATAATACACATTGTTTCCAATGATGACTCGACTATTTGCACATTTCAAAGCTTTCATTTGCAGCTAAATGTTTTGTATAAATACATTTTTAATTCATTTTAACCATGTTTGATTAGTCTTGAATTTGTACAACAGACATGCAAATATAAATATGCCTCTTTATATGATGGTCAAGTTATGAAATTAAGAGATTGTTATATTTCCCCTCTGAACACTAACAATGGCTGTATTATAATAACGGTGTTGTAACCTTTAACTTTTTCCGACCCACTGATTTGCATTTGTGTAACCAGTTTTTACAGAAAATACCTTGGTTAACTGTGGTTAGTGAAGTAAGACCAAGGTTGAACTTTTCTACCGGTTTAACTACAATGGCCAAGTCTCTATTTTACTTTTTGGTTTTATTTGTTGTAAAAATTATGTGATTAATTTGTCCTGAAAAAATTAAAATACTAGTCGTTATTAGTCATTGGTTGTTTTTATTTTATTACCTCAACAAAATCTCAATCAACTGTTTATCAATTTAAAAACGATGATAAGTTCAGGAGTAATCAGAGGAAAGGATCATGAGGCAACGGGGCAACATTGATTATTCTTATTGAAACTAGCTACAGAACAGCCTTATATTTCATAAGAACACTTTTATTTCGTGTTGTTTTTCAGTCATGGGACAATAAAGCTTCAGCGTGCGTGTTGTCGTTTTTCCGTCCAGGCATGAGTTCAACAGGTGGCGTGTCCGCTTTTAGAAACACGCTGCTGGACGCGTGCGCGTTCATGAGGAAACACTCGTGAGCGCATGAAAGCACACAGAACGCTACAGTGTTGTCGTCGGGGATGACAGGTAAATAAATATCTTGTGTTTTTACTACATTTTTAATAAACACCACATACATGCAAATACCAGGTCTTAAATGCTAATTATACTTAAATGTATCGTTTTGTCGGCAGTAACCTAAATTTTCGCCAGTAGTTTATGACTATTTTATGTCTGCTCTTATTTGTAAACCTTTTCGAAACTCGTTTTGTAAAGTTATTTTTGATCCGATGTTGCCACAATTGTATATACTTGAAAAATACTAGCCTATAGTGTTTTATAATAAATATAATAGTGTTTTTGTAGTCAATTGTAAATACAGTAGTAAATTTTGCAACAGCATAGGCCTACTGTAATATAGTGAACTGAAAAACTCATAAGTACTATAGTACACTTTTACTTTTTTTTTAGTTTTACTTCAGTTAACTGTGGTGTATTGTAGAACAATAATATAGAAATAGAATTATTACAACAGATTACCACAGTCCATCATGAATTACCAAGTATTTTACAATAGAATAGTTCAAATACACTATAGTATATTATATACTGTATTGCAAGCTGTATTGCTAAACTCAAATAGATTTTGAACAAGTGAGGGGTAAGAATTCATTGTTATTGCTTCTCTCCCAAGATTAAATCCACTACTCTTAGCAGCCGATTGTAGTGTATTTGCTAAAACATACACATTACCTGTCTTTTTGTGAATTTTTTTTTTTTTTAAATATTGTAGACATGTAAAAGAATTAGAGTTAAATATAGGCTAGGCCTCATCTTTATCTCGCACACTTGACTCGAGTAAGATCTAAATTTGTCCCCCCATCATGAATGAAATATTTAGGTCAAAACAAACTGTATAAAACTTTATGATCAGCTTTATGTATGCATTAAATGGCTATTTTAATTGACATGCACAGTTTTAGATATTTTGTAAATGCTTGTTGTGAGTCCATTCATTTAATTTTATCTAATTACATTTTTTAAAAGATCACAATGGCTGTGTTCAAACAGCAGCAGGTCGAGGATTTCTTTGAGATTGGAGAGGAACTTGGGAGGTAAGAATTTAGATGTTTATCTATTGGTTGCTCCAATAATTAATAATTTAGCAGTATAAATGGCACCTGCAGAGAACCAACATTAAAGTGATAGTTCACCCAAGACTGAAAATTCTATCATTTGCTCTTTCAATGCTTTCTTCATCATTTAAACACAAGATTTGTTTTTCGGAAAAGGTTGAAAACAGGTAACCATCAATGTCTATAGTACTTATTTTTCCTATATGGATGTCAGTGGTGACTTATTTTCTGCAAAACATTTTTGTTCGTGTTCAAAAAAAGAACTAATCTCAGGGAGAGAAAATAGTGAGTAATTTTTTTTTCTATTTTAAGGTGAACTGTCCTTTTAAGTACAAGAATATTAACATTATTTCAGTTGGGTCACTGATTTGAACAGAATTAATTACAGCAATCTGTAGTGCAACCTTATTTTTAATGGTATACAATATTTTATAAATGTATCATTTATGTTATTTCTAATATCTATTAATTTGATTAATAATAATAACATTTAAATGTTTTTATTCACATGCACTCAAAGCATACATTATAGTGTGGTTTTATATTAAGTCTTAAAGGGATTGTTCACCAGAAAATGAAAATTCTGTCATCATTTTCCCCTCACTTGTTCAAAATTTATTTGAGTTTAGCTATCATAAAGAAGATATTTTGGGAAAAATGCTGATTGCTAGCACCCATTGACTGCGATTAGTTATTTGTTTCCTACTTTGGATTTCATTGGTTACAGGTTTTCGGCTTTCTTCAAATCTTTGTGTTCAACAGAAGAAAAAAAATCTTTTTTAAATCTACAAGGAAGAATAAATGATTAGATAATTTTCATGTTCGTGTAAACAATCCTTTTAATTTAAATCTGAAATGCCTTTATATATACTTAAGTATATGATTGTTTATTTACATTTCTACAGCTGTAACATTAAAATGTTTTTTTTAATACATAAGTGAGATAGATTGTTTTAAACTTGGTGGTAAATTTGGCAAATTTCTGTTAGTTATTTAAATTTTCTTTATAACTTTATAGTAAGTAAAACAATTTTAGTTTATGCTATTGAACAAAACATCAGTGTCAGGTTATGCTTAAAAGACCAAAGACTTTTACTCATTAATCTAAAAACCTCATTATTAAAAACTCATATAAATACTGGATTTTAATGTCACAGCTGCAGATTATTCTCAGCCTTAATGTGTTTTTTTAACTACTTCTTGTGTATTTTTCAGTGGGCAGTTTGCAATTGTAAAGCAGTGTCGTGAAAAGAGCTCGGGCCGGGATTTTGCTGCCAAGTTTATAAAGAAGCGTCAGAGTAATGCTAGCCGACGAGGTGTCCTGCGAGAAGAGATCGAGCGAGAGGTCAACATCCTACAGCAGATCCATCACCCCAATATTGTCATGCTGCACGACGTGTTTGAGAACAAAACAGATGTGGTGCTGATTTTGGAGCTGTGAGTAGAACTTATAGTGTAATGACTCGATTATTTTTTTAAAGTTTTTTTTTTTTTTTTTTTAATGATTCACCTGACAACCCACATAGAAAGTGGATAAATGAAATATATACAAATTACATATATGTCATGTATGCAACATATATTTCAAAATATTGCAAAGAAATGGCCGTTTTGGGTTTATTTATTTATTTATTTGTTCATTTATTTTCAGCCATGGAATTACAAATATGTACAGTGCTGAGCATATATGAATACACCCCTCACAAATTTCTCTTAATTTCATATTTTCTAAGATGCTATAAAATATTATATTTGCATACAGTATACATTACATTAGTCAGTACTGAGCCAAATCTAGAGCTTATCTAATAAAATAACTTACTATAATGATCCAGAAATAAGTACACCTAAATTTATGTTGGAAAGATATTAAATAGCAACTTTTTAAAAAGACAAAAAAATCAAAAGAAAAAAAGTACATTTGTTACAATTTTGTAGTTTTTTTTTTTTTTTGTGCAATATTTCGTTTGAATTTAATTGTATTATCTTTTGATTTCTAAACATATTTGGTGACTTAATTATTATTTTAATAAATAAATATATCTGTTTAATAAATCTGTTTCGTTTAAATGCACCAAAATATTAACTCATTTAATATGTTTTATTAACTCATTTCTAATAACTAATTTCTTTCATCTTCGCCATGATTTCAGTACATAATATTTTAAAATATGTAGAAGTATCTTAAAAAATATCTAGTCAAATATTATTTACTGTCATCATGGCAAAGATAAAATAAATCAGTTATTAGAAATGAGTTATTAAAACTATTATGTTTAGAAATGTGTTAAAGAAATCTCCGTTAAACAGAAATGGGGGAAAAAATAAATAGGGGGCTAATAATTCAGGAGGGCTAATAATTCTGACTTGTATGGACATATTTGTAATTCCAATGGAGCATTCATTTTTGCAATATTTCAAAACATATGTTGTATATAAGACACATATTTTATATATATGTGAAAATACAAGTATGAACTTGAACGTCACTTATGTAATTAGCATATTTTTCCATGTATTAGATTTCAATATGGGAATTCTGTATTTTTGTAGGGTGTCTGGAGGAGAGCTTTTCGACTTTCTGGCACAGAAGGAGTCTTTAAGCGAGGAGGAAGCCACACAGTTTATCAAACAGATTTTAGAGGGCGTGCACTATTTGCACTCAAGGAATATTGCTCACTTTGACCTGAAGGTACAGTAAACCCATTGGGCTCATAACACTACCCAGAACATTACAGTACAGTATATTTGCTCTGACAGATGTGAATTTCTGAAGAATGCTCTGTCTGAATAACAAAGTGTCTTTGTGTGCATATAAGTGTGGGTGTATGTGTTCCTGTGTGTGTGTAATAATTTTTTTCCTGCTTTGCAGCCTGAAAACATCATGCTTCTGGATAAGAACGCGCCTCTGCCCCGAATCAAGCTCATTGATTTTGGCTTGGCGCACAAGATTGCTGAAGGGGTTGAATTTAAAAACATCTTTGGAACTCCAGAGTTTGTCGGTATGATGTGTTTTGTTAAACCCTAAAGCTTGCAAATAGCTTTCAACATGCACACAAATGGGCCAGTCACACATTTATTCAACATTTTTTAAATTTTTTGAAACATTTAAAAATGTCAAGCATTCCATGGGCTTGATTTGATAAACAGGTGAAATTAGCGTGAGAGTGCAAAGTTTTGATGGGGACTGCTAAGTTTTGCAAGTAACCTACTGTCCGTGTGCAAATGTAAAAACCCTTGCACGACAGCTCATTTCCATAATATCCATAACTGTGTCAATATTGAAAGGTCAGGTCACTTTTCCAGTTGTAATGATTAAGCAATTTTTTAAAAAATGTTCTAGCATGGCCTAAAACAAATATCTGTATATGTAAGAATGTGTATATATAAAATGTCTATGTGTTTTTTATTCATTTATGTGAATTTTTTAGTTCTAGAAATGATTTTTTTTTCAGGGCAAATGATTTTTTTTCAGAAATTATTTGTGTGTGTGTGTGTGTGTGTGTGTGTGTGTGTGTGTGTGTGTGTGTGTGTGTGTGTGTGTGTGTGTGTGTGTGTGTGTGTGTGTGTGTGTGTGTCTGTGTGTGTGTGTGTGTGTGTGTGTGTGTGTGTGTGTGTGTGTGTGTGTGTGTTTGTGTGTGTGTGTGTGTGTGTGTGTATGTATATATATATATATATATACAGTTGAAGTCAAAATTATTACCCCGCCCCTGTTTATTTTTTTCCTCAATTTCTGTTTAACAGAGGGAAAATAGTTTCATCCCATTTCTAAGCATAATAGTTTTAATAACTCATTTCTAATAACTGAATTATTTTATCTTTGTCATGATGACAGTAAATAATATTTGACTAGATATTTTTCAAGACACTTCTATACAGCTTAAAGTGACATTTAAAGGCTTAACTAGGTTAATAAGGTGAACTAGGCAGGTTAGGGTAATTAGGCAAGTTATTGTATAACAGTGATTTGTTCTGTAGATTAGCGAAAAAAAATTACCTCAATGGTTTTTAAAATATTAATAACTGCCTTCATTGTAGCCGAAATAAAACAAATGAGACTTCTCTAGAAGAAAAATTATTATCAGACATACTGTGAAAATTTCCTTGTTCTGTAAAAAAATCTTTTGGGAAATATTTAAAAAAGAAAAAAAAATCAAAAGGGCTATTAATTCTGACTTCAACTGTGTGTATATATATATATATATATATATATGTATGTATGTATATGTATGTATGTATATATGTATGTATATGTATGTATGTATATATAGTTGAAGTGAGAACTATTAGCCCCCCTTAGATTTTTCTTTTCCTTTTTACAATATTTCCTAAATAAAGTTTAACAGAGCAAGGAAATTTTCAGAGTATGTCTGATACTATATTTTTTTCTAAAAGCCATTTTCAAAATTATTAATCCCTTTAAGATATATTTATTTTTAATAGTCTACAGAACAAACCATCGTTATACAATAACTTGCCTAATTATCCTAACCTGCCTAGTTAACCTAATGAGCCTTTAAATGTCACTTTAAGCTTGTCACTTTAAGCATATATATATATACACACAATTGAAGTCAGAATTATTAGCCCCCTTTTGATTTTGATTTTTAAATATTTCCCAAATTATAACAGAGTAATGAAATTTTCACAATATGTCTGATAATATTTTTTCTTCTGGAGAAAGTCTTATTTGTTTTATTTCGGCTAGAATAAAAGCAGTTATACATTTAAAAAAAAACATTTTTGGGAAACAATTATTAGCCCCTTTAAGCTATTTTTTTTTTCGATAATCTACAGAACAAACCATCGTTATACAATAACTTGCCTAAATACCCTAATCTGCCTAGTTAACCCTATTAACCTAGTTAAGCCTTTAAATGTCACTTTAAGCTGTATAGAAGTGTCTTGAAAAATATCTAATAAAATATTATTTACTGTCATCATGGAAAAGATAAAATAAATCAGGTCACACTTTACAATAAGGTTTATTAGTTAATGTTAATTAATGCATTTACTAACATGAACAAACAATGAACAATACATTTACTACAGTATTTGTTTATGTTAGTAAACGTTAGTTAATGAAAATTCAATTGTTCATTGTTAGTTCATGTTAACTCACGGTGCATTAACTAATGTTAACAAGCACTGACATGGATGTTAATAATGCATTAGTAAATGTTCAATCATGATTAATAAATGCTGTACAAGTGTTGTTCATGATTACTTCATGTTAGTAAATGCATGAACTAATGAACCTTATTGTAAAGTGTTACCATAAATCAGTTATTAGAAATAAGTTTTTTAAACTATTATGCTTAGAAATATGCTGAAACAAACTTCCCAGAACGGAACAGAAATTGGGGAAAAAAATAAACAGGGCCGCTAATAAATCAGGGGGGCTAATAATTCTGACTTCAACTGTATACATATATATATATATATATATATATATATATATATATATATATATATATATATATATATATATATATATATATATATAGTGATTTAAGGGATTACATCGCTTTGTAAATGTTTATTAGTACCATTTGTTAATGCCACCCATGCAGTTTGATAAAGCTCTTGGAAGCTGTTTCATGTGTTTTTAAATACAATATTTATGCTATATATAAATGTTTAATTTCTCAGCTCCAGAAATTGTGAATTATGAACCACTGGGACTGGAAGCAGATATGTGGTAAGATTTATTTTGAATGCACAGGAAACATCAAAATTAATAATTTCTTTTTGGTTTTGATTTTAAATAATGAAATGCTTTGCTTTTATAGGAGTGTTGGTGTTATCACATATATTCTGTAAGTTCTTAAAACTGTTTCACCTATCTGCATTATTTCTTCAGACTATCGATTTAATGATATGTACATTTTAACAATGTTCTGCTGATAATTTGTCTCAATGTAGGTTAAGCGGTGCGTCTCCTTTCCTAGGAGAAACAAAACAGGACACCCTGGGAAACATCTCGGCCATGAACTATGAGTTTGATGATGAATTCTTTGGCCACACCAGTGAGCTCGCCAAGAATTTTATACGACAACTGCTGGAAAAAGACACCAAGTATGTTGCAGAGTGCTGAGATCATCTGAAGCCATGTGTGTTTGAGTGTGAGCTTTAGATTTGATGCTTGATGGATGTGAAATTGCACAAATTACCATCCCAATTGTGTTTTTCAGAAAACGACTCACAATTCAAGATGCCTTAAACCATGCTTGGATCAAGGTGGGTTATTGTACAGTGTATCCGAAAAGTGTTCAACGTACTTCACTTTTGCAGAAATGTCATGTATGTTGCTGGTGATGCGGTGGCGCATTGGGTAGTGCTGTCGCCTCATAGCAAGAATGTGGCTTGTTTGAGCCTCGGCTGGCATTTCTGTGTGGAGTTTACATGTTCTCTCCATGTTGGTGTGGGTTTCCTCCGGGTGCTCTGGTTTTCACCACAGTCCAAAGACATAGGTCTAAAAACACAGTCCAAAGCGCTATAGGTGAATTGGGTAAGCTAAATTGTCTGTAGTGTATGTGTGTGAATGAGAGTGTATGTGTGTTTCCCAGTGATGGGTTGCTGCTGGAAGGGCATTCCCTGTGTAAAACATATGCTGGATAAGTTGGCGGTTCATTCTGCTGTGGCGAACCCAGATTATTAAAGGGACTAAGCCGAAAAGAAAATTAATAATTATGTTGCAATTCCAATAAATAGAATAAATCCTCAAAATTCTCGAAATAGTTCACCATAATGACAACATGAAAGTAGTTTAAAAGCTTTGAACCAACATATATCTCCACACACTATCAACACTTGCTCACATATTTATTAAATGTTTATTCCTTTGGTCTCCTGAACTTAATCATATATACATACATAGAAAGTCACAACATTTTAAAGAAAACAGATAACAATTAATAATTAATATCACTAATGCAAACCACACTGTAAAAAAAAAATATATCTGTAATTAACAGTTTCTGTATTTTGTGATTCACAAGTGTTTATAATTGCATTATGGAAGCTTGATCTCTGCTCTGTCGACTTTTGATGTTGAAAATGGAACTCACAGTTTAACAAAGTGACTTTCATTGACATTACTATGTTTTGTACCATAATATACAACACCGACCCAGACAATATATCATTTTAAACTATTAAAATTTTTAATAAAAGTCACTTTTTCAAACTTTTTAAGGTTAAAAGTTGTTGGAAGAAACATAAAGGTCCCATAAAACAATTTAAAAGCATAAATAAACAAGAAAAATAAAAAAAAAATGAAATATGAATCTCAAAAAATGGAAAATTTGATAATTTACGGATATTTTTAATGTGCAATTACCATTTATAATATGTATAACGAGCAGTCATGACTCAAAACACCTTTTATCCATCATGGGTAAATAAATAAATAATAAAAATATTCATAAAAACAACACCCTATTTCTAAACACCCTAATCAAACCATTTATATCACCACATTAAATAGTGCATCATGATTTAGTGCTCAGATGCTGCGATTTGTAAACTCACAATCCACAACAATTTGTATCTCAATAAAACAATAGTGGCGTCACAGTGGCGCAGTGAGTAGCACAATCGCCTCAAAGCAAGAAGGTTGCTGGTTCAAGCCTTGGCTGGGTCAGTTGTCATTTCTGTGTGGAGTTTGCATGTTCTCCCTGTGTTCGCTTGGGTTTCCGCCTAGTGCTCCGGTTTCCCCCACAAGTCCAAAGACATGCGGTACAGGTGAATTGGGTTGGCTAAATTGTCCGTAGTGTATGTGTGTGTAAATGAGTGTGTATAGATGTTTCCCAGTGATGGTTTGCAGCTGGAAGGGCATCCTCTGCTGCATAAGTTGTCGGTTCATTCCACTGTGGCAACCCCTGAATAATAAAGGGACTAAGCCTAAAGAAAATTAGTGAACAAATAAAACAAAAGCCAAATTACCTAAAATAATTTATCATCATTTAGGTCCCCTATTTTTTTTTACCTCTTTTACAAGATTTAAGAAAAGTCTTTGGTGTCCCCTGAATGTGTCTATGGAGATTCAGCTTAAAATACCCATCAGATTATTTATTAATGGAGTATATGCCTATTTTGGCAGTGGAGCTGTTTTTGTAGCCTGAACCTTTAAATGCACATGAGCTGGTTATCCCTCCTGGGATTTGGACCCTGCCTGCTTGTTAAGTGTGACGTCACGCGAAGCAGTTTCCGGGTCCAAGCATTCTGTCAAACTGTATGGGAAGACTCAAATGGTAATAATAAACGTTTACAAAGTGATGTAACACTTTCGACAATCACTACGTATATTTATATATCCATGCCTATAATCAGATGGCCAGAAAGTGATTAATTTTTTAATATATTGTTAAAGTATTGGTGTCTGAGATGCAGAGACAGAGTCTTCCAGAGACTGTTGTGTACTCTATGATTTTATATAAAATTCACTTTAATGTGTGATATGACTAAAAAGTGATCAATTCAATTGAAGCTGCTATTTGGACCCAGAAACAGTATTCCATACGTCACCGATACTTCATGACTTAACAATTGGATTTTAACATTTAACTAATTAAAAAAAGAGACTTGTGTTTATATCACTCTGATATGACAATGGACACACTTTACCTACACATACTGTAGTTCTGTCCAAACAGCCTCCAAAAGTAGATTTTTCATCAGTTTAACTTTGAAACTCTGGTTTGAAAGTTTGTGAAATCAGTCCAGAACTGTACCTTACACATTTTGATACATTTTTGTACTGTATTTTGTGAAGAATTGACAGTGTGCATGATTATTTCTTTCCTTTGCACATTTTTAAATGGTGATTTTTCTCCTACACATCTATAATTTCTTCAGATTTTGAGTTTGAACTGATACTTTGTTAAAGGACCATCAGTACCAAGTCTTATTGAGTATGCTGCTACAAGTCTTAATACCTTTCTCAATCATAACTCAATCCCCATTTGTCCATTCGCAGTCTAACGAGCATAAGGAAGATCGTAATAAAGCCCCAGAGAGGAAGAGAGAGCGCAGGCAGCTGAAGACGAAGCGTCTCAAAGAGTACACCATCAAGTCCCACTCCAGCATGCCTCCGAACAACACCTACATCAACTTCGAGCGCTTCGCACAAGTGGAAGAGGACGTGTCGGCCATGGAGGGCACATTCTGCCAGCTGGCATCAGCCCACGATTCCCTGCAGGAGGACATCGATGCACTTGTGTCCATCTACAATGAGAAGGAGATGTGGTACAAAGAAGAAAGCGAAAGCATCAGGCATGAGCTGTCCCAGCTGCGCTATGAGTTTCGTAAAGTGGAAGCCCAGAGACGCGGCGTTCACGAAGAGATGAGGAGCGTGGATGCCAGTGTTAACAGAGTGAGCGAGAAATATAAGGAAAGACAGAGCCGTTTCGATGCTCTACAGAAGGAACTGTGCACTGAGCTGCAGTGGGTTCAGGAGGTGGTGGGTTCCTTTCAGGTCAGCTTCCCAAACTGTAGCTTTAGCAGCGTGTTTAATACTGATGTCAATGAAGCACTGAAAGAGCTGTTGAATAGATCCTGTGGAGGAGACCTGCTGACGGGCAACAACCTGGACCAGCAGAGATGACCACTGTTATTGGTCACATGTGTAAGGAATAATCAATAACAAGATGCAATTATTAGAAAAAAAATGCTCCGCTGAAGTGGTGATGCGGGCACAGAGTAAAGCAGGTTTTAAAAATGCATTATATTTGAAAATTTCAACAGACCACAGTCAATTATGCTATGGTTATCACACCTAAACACTGTTCTGATGTTGTATTTCATGAAATGCGTGTTTTTTTTCTTCTCCTCAAACAGCTCAAGCTCATGATCAAGTCTTCAACAGATACATATACACTGAAAAAAAGTAAATCAAAGATTATTCCTTGGATTTACTAAATTTAAAGTGAAGTGGTTCTGAATTTAAACAAATAAATTAAGTTGAACATTACTAAATTTAATTAGTTTGTTTAAATTCAACCCAAAATATTTTTTAGTGTACTTTAAAAACCTACTCATTTGAAGCTAGCTGAATCAACATAATTCTTGTTTTTTTGGACAACTTAATTGTTTCATGTTCAATTCACAATTAGTAAAAAAAAAATAAAAATTTAACGTAAATGATTCGTGTTGGGAACACATGAAAGAATTGTGTGGAACCCAGCATTTTTTCGGTGCAGTACAAAGCTATTTATTTTAAAGAGCTGTTGAATGCTGGATTCTGATTGGGTCTTGAATATTCTAAGGTGTGCAGGACCATTTTCAGGAAAACACACAGGTTAAAGGGCCGTTCACACTAAGGATGATGACTAGAAATAGAACAATATTTATATTTGTGTCCAAAATGGCAAAAGATAAACATTTGTTTATTTATTTATAGTTTATTTTCATCTGTTTGCATTGCATCATTGTAACCTACAAGAATCTAGCTTGTGTAATCTATCTATTCTAACCATAAATTTAGCTATTGCTGTTTAAAATTGCAATTTAAAAGCGGCAACAGACCATTACTAAATAGCTGAGATAGCTTTTTTTAGAATTCTCTCACATGATAAAACAAACAAAATTTCAAGAAGTCATTATCTTTAAATAAACTTTTATACTTTAGATAATGTGTTTTCACAATACTGTCTTTAGCTTTTAATTGCTCAAACCATTTATATTTCAGTGGAATCTGACTGGCTGTCCATGTTTTATTGTTTAATAGCTGAAAAAAAATTCTGAAAGTGGGCCAACTTTATAGTTTCTCACATTATAGTGGTGGTCTGAACTCTGCTCTTGTTTTACATTTAGAATTTTTTTTAAATGACGTCTTAATTGTTACCTTTATAGTTAATATGCTTGTTGTAAATGTCTCTTAAGCACACAGAAAAAAAATATTGATGCCAAACAATTTATATCGGCGAAATTTTAACTAACTAATTAAATTTGGCAATGTTTAAATTAATTTGTTTGTTTAAATTCCGCCTAAAAAACTTAACCGCTTACCTTAAAAAATTGTAAATCCAATAAATATTTTTTCAGTGTAGTTACGGGCGGGTTTTGACCTCAATACAGTTCCATATCATATAGTTTTTCATGAAAGTTAAGTCAGTTGCTTAAAAAAACAACAGTAAAATGTAATATAGTAAAGCAAGCAGGTTTATTTTGCTAACTGTCATTACAAAACAGATCTTCTTTTAAAAGTAAAAAAATCATAAAACCAGATGTGATGTTTTTATTTTCAATAATGAAGTGTATCCCTCTTTTCTTTCTATTTCCTGATCAGCTGTAATTTGTTCAGACAGTGTACACAGAACATGGTGTTCACCTTTGGTTACTTGTTTACCAGATCTGATTACATAAGGTTAAAAGACAACTGAACTCAGCTTATTTGATTAAACCCAGCTAATGGATTGAATATGCTTCTCCAGGGTTTCCCCCCTTTTTTCCATGGCTGCCTGCTGTGGCGTTTAGAGGAACTATTTTAATTTATATTGTATTCAATAAGTACAGAATGGGCCTATTGTTATGTCTACATGACACAAGTTGTTATCCTTAGTGGGATGATGCTTCCTCTAACATAAACTTGTAGACCAATCAGACTCTTTTAAACAGTTGACTACACTACTGGAACTACTGCAAAGTGATTAGATTCACTGAGTCTACTGTTTTGGAATGCACTAAACTCTAAAAGGAGGTTATGCTACGTATACTTTATGATTGTTCTGCAGTATTTTGGTGAGTAATGTATTTAAACTCTAGCTTTGCTACTATCTTGTTAAAAAATCCTCTGATTTATATACATGGTCATCGTTACATTGCATTCAATCTTGTATACTTTGAAGGCATTCCTTTCTTCAAAGTATCCTTTTAAGGACTAACTTTTACGTCCTTTTGAATTCACATGCATGCTGTGGGGTACACAGTATTTACTCATGGTCTTGCATCCTGTTATGTTAGTTTCCCTCCAAATCTATCAGTCTTTGTCACGTGCTGTCATATAGATGTGGTTATGCAAGCTCAACTCACTGACCAGAATCCTTAAGCGACACTGTCATGCAGATTTGACTTGTTTTTCTCTTCTGCGCCACACAGAGCTCTTCATTCATACGCAACTATCTTAATAGCAATTTGTGGATAGTTTTAGCAGCAAGCAAAACCCCTTGAAGGCATGTTTGTCAGCTCTAAGAAAATGCATTCAGAAGGCTAAAAAAAGCTGTGTACTCAGACATCAACACATTTCATCGTTCGTTCTGCAGCAACACGGGCTGTGTTTTTTACTTCTCTATACTGCATATTACCACAAAGCATTGTGGAAACATTGTTTTTGTATTACACTTTCAGTTCTATAGGGGTCAGTGTTCACCTTATTTACTGTGGCACCCACGGGCATGTTGTCCATTACACGAACTGGTTTTAGATGAAAGGCCTCATAATGTGTGTATTGTTGGGTAACTGATGGTAGTGACTCACTGGTGTTTGGCTTCTGGGCTTAATAAATGTTGGATGGGTCAGGGATGATTGTGTTTTATTGCAATGGAACATAAAAAAAAAGATATGTTTGAGAAATGGCCTTGTGAGTACTTTACACCACAATAATTTATTCTTGTAAAATCAGCTTGCCTTATTATTAATTACATTTTTGGGTCTCGCTTCTACAATTATATCTTTTATTAGATGCTTGTGTGTGCATGTGCATGTCTGTGTGCACTCAGATAGGTCTGGAGAATGTTTATCTGGATGTGTGCAGCGCTACAGATTAGGTATTAGTTTTATCAAACTATTATTTTTGTTGTTCACTCTATAGACATTTTATACTACTACTGAAAACCGTAATATATATATATATATATATATATATATATATATATATATATATATATAGGAGGACTTTTCTTTTTAGGTTATGAACTCTTTTAAGTTATGAAATGCCATTCCTATAATGTTGCAGGGTGGTTAATTTTAAATGACTTAAAATAATGTATACAGAATGTTTCATTGTTTTTATGCAAATTTACAATGTTCCTAGAACATTCTGGGAAGCAAAACATTTTAGCTGGATTATAATGTTTACATTTTTACTGTGCACCAATAGAATTGCTTGACTGTTTTTTTTTTTTATTAACATACTTAATGGGTAGATGTAAGTGATGCATGTGTTTGTATTGTCAGTATTGAAGGTTGATTGTGAACTAAAAACACAATTTATCTTTATCTTAAACTAAAGCTGAGATAAGATGGTACACTTTTCACTTTTTCAATAGTGTTTTTATTGAACATGTAGATATAAAATGTAGTACAAGTAGCTTGAAATTTTTCTTTTAGACACAAAAAACAAACAAAACCCGTCGCACACATTCATTTAGGTTCTTTAAGAATATATTTATATAAAAGTTAATAATAATATTAAATAAAACATTTTATATATATATAAACATATATAAAAGGAAAGAAAATAAAAGGAAAATAAAATAAAAGATACATTTATAAAACAAAATAACAAGGCTCTACACTGTAAAACACAACAGTCAACCTTATCAAATGAAATGAATGTAGTTAACTCAAAAATTACTGAAAGTTAATTCTACTCATTTGAAAAGAGTTTTGAACTCAGTGTTGAAGGTAATGAGTTCATTAAATAGACTCAGAAATATATTTGTTTTGCTTGTTCAAACTACTTATGTAAAATAAGGTGAAACAACACAATTCTTGAGATTTCATTGGGACAAATTAATTTCTTTATGTTAATACACAATTTGTTTTTTATCAATTTGTGTTGGGACAACATAAATGATTTGTGTGGAACCCTGCATTTTTACAGTGTACCTCATTAATTCAACTTAAATGGAGTAAGTCCACAGTACTCATAGATTTGTTTTTTTTTTAACTCAAATACTTTGTTGCAATTGGTTTCCTCAAACGGTTTGAGTTGTCCATACTGGGTTTTACAGTACTCACTTGGTTTGACTTCTCTCGATTTATTGGGATTTACTATGTTAAATTGCTTCGTTTACTTAAATGGATTAAGTTCACAGTACTCATTAGGATTAGAGTTTGAACTTAAATAGTTTGTTGCAATTGGTTTCCTCAAATGGTTTGAGTTACCTTAACGTTTTGGGTTTTACAGTGTACTCTTCTAAAATAACTGAAGGGTCTATCTTCTTTATGTGATCTAAAACAGGTTGCCAAGTGAGAAAAAACATATCAGTACAACCTCTTACAGTGTATTGTATCTGTATCAGATGTTGTAGAAGTTCCATAAGCCAATGCTTAAAGGTTGGAGGATTTTTTTTCCTTCCATTTGTGCAATATTAACCTTCTAGCTGCAAAGGCAATCACATTTACAGTCAAAGTCCGTATTATTAGCCCCCTTTTGAGTTTTGTTTTTCTTTTTTAAATATTTCCTAAATGATGTTTAATAGAGCATGGAAATTTTCACAGTATGTCTGATATTTTTTCCTCTGGAGAAAGTCTTATTGGTTTTATTTCGGCTAGAATAAAAGCAGTTTTTAATAATAATAAAAAAAAAAAATTATTTTAAGATCAAAATTATTAGCTCGTTATACAATAACTTGCCTTATTACCCTAACCTGCCTATAGTTAAATGTCACTTTAAGCTGTTTAGAAGTGTCTTAAAAAATATCTAGTAAAATGTTATTTTCTCTCATCATGGCAAAGATAAAATATTAAAGATATATATTATATTAAAGATTTAAATAGTAGCTGCCAGAAATCTTTTAATTTTGATCAAGCCCAAAACATATGAGATAGCGTAGCTGGCGCAATATTTTATCTGTCAGAATTATTGGATTCAAATTTAGCTAGTTTCACTGTGGACCAATGTAATCTGTGTACTACTTTAAATTGTAAAACTCTGTTTTAAACAAATTGAAGATGAGTTAATATTATCTAAAACAGATTGCAACATGTCTTTTGATAATATCTCCAGTTCCGCCTCCCATTTTCTTTAAGATGGTACACTTCTAAAATAAAGTGCCAGGAAGTCATTTATGATCATTTTGGTTCTCCAAAAAAAATTTTTGTGAAAGAAATAAATTTTCATTCCAATAACCTAAAGAAACCTTTTTCCACTATAAAAACCTTTTCAGAAATGAAAAGTTTCCATTAAGGAAATCACAAATAATAACAATAAACAAAAATATATTGGATAAAAAAAACTTTACCTTACAAACTAAACAAACATTACTAACATTGTCTTGACTATTTATTGGAGTTAGGAAAGTGTAGGTTAGTGTTAGTGACGATGGGTTTTTCTTCATAATGTAGATCTTCAGGAAATGGGAAGACGAAAGTCAAGTTATGATTTTACTCCACAACAATAGATATTTGCTAAACTGTTACACCAGTGACACAAATCCAGGGGACAATCATCATTTAATATTTTACTATATTTATTAATTAATTATTTTAATTATTTATTATCTTTTATGTCATTTTCATCCTATATTTTATTGTTCTGAATACATTATTGTATTTTGAATGGTAGAAAAAATATTTTTTTAAATTTTTACCTCAAAATAAAGCCCCTTTCTGTTCATGGCTGTATGGATAAGCAGTAGTGTAGTTATGGTAATTTTCCATACATTGATGACTTAAAATGGTGTAATTGTTTAAATAACATTTTGTTTCTTTTTCTAATATAAAGAAATTTTAAACCTAAAGATTTGATGCTGAAAATCTATAAATCAAAAAAAAATTCTGTATATATATATATATATATATATATATATATATATATATATATATATATATATATATATATATATAATTTTTTTTTTGTGTGTGTATTATTTTTCAAAAAAAGCCAGGCACAATGCACATGTGTAGTCGCTGAGGTTGTGGAGCTGTTGTTCTGTGCAGCGGGTAATGAATGGTAGGGAGGGACTGAACTGAGCACTGAGTGAGTCTGCTGCTAATTTCACAGCAGCAGCAGCAGCAGAGAGTCGTGAGGGATTGAGCACTGCTCTCCTCACTCCCAACTCTCTATTATTCAGATCCTCAAACCAGCGACTACCAGACTTTTCTATCATGCACCGGCACATGCAGGTGCCAAAGGATCATTTATGACCATGAGAGCCACTTTCGTTCATGCATTGAATAGGCCTTTGGCAGTTTATGGTAAGCTCCAGCCTCACCTTTTCAGTTCTTTTATTTCCACAACAGACAGCAGAATTAAGCCGTTTCAAATGTGACAGTATGTGTAATCTTCCGACCTTGCATCTCGTTGACAGTTTATGTGGCAAATGCATGTGTTGTACGCTAGGAAGATGTTTTTTTTTTTTGTTTGGGTGCATGATTTTAATGTCAAGTAAGCTGAGCTGACTCATATGAAGTGAGGGGAGTTGATCACAGCCTGGCAACCACAGACAAGCGGCTCCACAGCCTGGCTAATGCGACAAGCTAGCCGTGCTATAAAGTCTAGCACTTTCAAGACAGTCCGCTGCTTTAATTAAACCTATATATATGGTTTAATTTAATGTAGGCAAAGCCGTATGTGTATTGTTAGTGAATCATTTTAATGTAGTGGACTGAGTTAGCTTAGCTTGCTGTCGTATACTGAGCTGTTAGCCTGCTCCCATGCTAACAAGCTAACACCGATAAGTTCCGTTTCACTTGCAGACGTTATCAAAGCAACGCGCTGCTTTTTTATAGATGTGATAAATACGAAACAAGTGTACTGAACACATTTAAGCAGACATATTGGTGGAGAATACATTTTACGCAAGGTTGGCTATGCTATGTGAAACTATAGGTTAGCCAGCTGAATGAATAAGCAAACCGCAAGACTGTCAAAACCAACACCTTTAGTCATCGTAATTCAAACAGGTGGGTGGAAAAATCACCCTAGTTTTCACTGGCAATTAAAATGCTTGTTTGCAGGATCAGGATGTCACCATTATAGAGCCGAGGAATTGGTTAATATAACATTTGCACTAAAGCATTAACCGACAACCTGTAACTTAATAGACGAGTTGTGTTATGTGGAATAACAGGCTGGAAAATCTTGCAAGACTTTTACTCCTGATAATATGAAGCCCGGTTATTATAGAAATATGTTTACTCGTATTCTGTCTGCATGCTGTGCATCTACAGCAAAACTGCTGCCAATATAGGCTATGGTCTGTCAATCAGTCTTACTCATGTAATTATGATAGAATTTAAACATGATAAAGGAGGTACATGACTGGAGTGGTGTACTTTGTATGCAATAAATATTACTATTAAATTCATCTGTCAGATCTCAGGCAATATTCAGAAGCACACTATATGTTGATGATGAACATGCATGATATTGATATTCTGTGAGCAATTCAAAACCGTGAATAATTATTTAGTTTTTAGGAATGCTCAAACTAATATATTAACAGTCATGTTCATCACAGCACCAAATGCTTAAAGACTTATTAGGCTTTAATTTGAAACAATTTCATTGTTCTGCTCTCCAATTTATACGTAGAGTGAAAATGTTCAGATTTAGTTTGTTATTGCTTTACAAT